GAGCCTCACACATGAAAGGCAAGTGCTCTATAACTGAACTACATCCTCACCCCTTTCTCATGTTTCTTGGAAGTAAAGTTGAGGGTTGGATATATCATTCTTAAATTTTGGTACCCGTCATTCCAATGACTTATCTGAAATGGGTCTTTGTTTCCTTCTTTCAACACGCCTAAGGTCTTTCAGCTTCCAAATACCAAGATTTAAAAATATATTGTACAGACTGGAGATATAGCTCAGTGGTAGAGCACTTGCCTAGCATGTGTGAGGCCCTGGGTTTGATCCCTGGTATGGCCAAAAGAAGTAAAAATATAATGCAACTGTTATTCATAATGCTGGCAGGATTGGATTCATGGCCCAGCATAGAGTTTGTTTGAAAGACACAATTGTATGTGAGACATATAGGAATTGGTTGTAGTTGCTCAGTAGTACATCCAAATCTATGGAATTATGAAGTAACTTTTAGAAGAGTTTTAGGAATCTAGCAAAACTAGTAGTGATTTTGCTGCTGTAGAACATAGTTACAAACATTTTTTCTTGTATAGAGAATGATCTGAGTAAAGGCAGAGTGAGGGAGTGTAAAATAATGGAGGAACCTATACTTTAGAGGTAGGATTTTATTCTAAGGGGAAGGAAACCATAAGGGGACTTTGACTAACGGAGGGGTGATCAAAATTGTCAGTTTCTTTTTAGAAAGTTCATTTTGAGAGGAAAATAGAGAATGGGTTGGAGATTGGGAGGAAGAAGTTGATTCGTTTCTTTGCAGTCATCTAGCAACCCATGTATCTTTCCATCTGCCCACCTAGCAAACATTACGGAACACCTAGTTGTAAGAATAAAGCTTCCTAAATCAGGTAGGCCTAAGGTTTAAATCCTGTCCTGTCATTCACCTACCTGTGTGATTTTGAGTGAATTATTTAATCTGTCAAGAATTTAATTTATTAGCTAAAGATAGGACAATAAACATTAAAACTTCATAGGTAGGTTGGGAGGATTCCAGTTAATAATGCTTAATAAATGATTGATGTTATGCAAGAAACTCAAAAACACTGAATAACTTTTAGCTATTATCAGTGCTCACAGGCTGGAGAAACAGATTTGGGGACTTTAATGAAATTGGGGCTTGCTATTGGGGACACCTTCATGAGGATGGGATTCAGTTTAGCAGACACTGCTGAACATGTTCTGCCTATACAGTCCCACACCAGCTGGTGTGGGAGGTGGCCCAGGTGGGTGCCTCTGGGAACTCACAGGGCTTCCTTTTAATGCCAGGCACAGTGTGTTAAATACTTTAGTCAGCTCAGTGGTAGAGAGTTAGAAACGCTTTTTGGAGAAGGTAGGATTTGAGATGGGTCTCAGAGAATGGGCAGGTCTCCAGTAGGAGGTAAAAGGGCTCTTTAGGCTCAAGCAGTGAGTTGTATGGAAGTCTAGAAACAGAAGAATGAGGATGTGTATTAAGATTCAAAGGGGGGCTGGGGATATGGCTCAAGCGGTAGTGCGCTCGCCTGGCATGCGTGCGGCCCGGGTTTGATCCTCAGCACCACATACAAACAAAAGATGTTGTGTCTGCCGAGAACTAAAAAAGAAATATTAAAAATAAATTCTCTCTCTCTCTCTCTCTCTCTCTCTCTCCTTTAAAAAAAAAATTAAAAAGATTCAAAGGGGCTAGGGATATGACTCAGTTGGTAGAGTGCTTGCCTTGCATGCACAAGGCCCTGGGTTCAATCCCCAGCAACACACACACACACACACATACAGAAATTCCAGGGAACATATGTAGGATAGAATATGGAAACTCTTATTTTAAGAGAGTATATGGAGAGAAAAAGTATTGACATAAAGATGTGTGGTTTATTTTTAGTAAAGAACTTTTTATTTCATTCTGAAGATTTTTGGACTTTTAAAAAGAGGTGCTCATAGGGAATGGAAAGATATTTGGTTTGTATTTGAAGAAGGAGATGGAGGAGGCTACTTAAGGCTGTCTTAGTCTCTTTTCTGTTGCAGTAATAAAATACCATACACTGGATAATTTATAGGCAGCATGATTCCAGAGGCTAGGAAGTCCTAAAGGATGGTACTGCCATCTGGCAAGGATCATCCTGTGGTGGAAAATGGAAAAGCAAGTCAGAGAGAGGAATCAAGAGGGAAAACCTATAACAACCCATTCCACTTCCTACCCATTCCTCTGTTTGTGGCATTAATCCATTCATGAGGGCAGCATCCTCATGATGTGATAACCTTTTAATGGTCCCACCTTGATACTATGGCATTGGAGGGGACATTCAACCCATAGCCAAGGCTATTGAAAGAGCTCAAGCAAGAGCTCTGAGAATCTGAGTGAGGTCGCCGGAGGAGGAAAGGAAGGATAGGATAAGAAACTTAACAGAAATATTATTGTGGGGACTTGGTGACTCATTTTTGTGGGGTGAGATGGAAGAGATGGGTTTGCTGAAATGGTAATGCTTTTGAGAATGGGCAGTAGTGGGAAGAGGTTTGGGAGGAAGGATGGCCAGCTGCTTTGAATCTGAGGCACTCAGGAGACATCCCTCTGGAGGAGACTTCTACATGATCACAGGTCTTTGGATCAGACTACAAAGTGGGAGCAGGGCTGTAACAGAGGGCTGTCTGCCCAGAGGCCAGCGTGAGGTCAGGGAAAGGAGAAGATTGTCAGAAAGGTGAAGGACTCACCTTTGGAGAAAGGACTATTTCAGGCTGAGTAAGTAGCAAGAGAGGATCTAGTGACAGAGACAGGGAGAGGAATAGGAGAGAGGTGCAGGCATCCAGGAGGAGAGAGATTTTCAACAACACAGATGGTCAACAGCCTTAAGACAACAAAGAGGCCGCCCAAGTTGTTTATTGGCTGATGTGGTGAAGGCAGAATTTTAGGTATGCACATCCTTGGGTGGCATAGCTGAAGTGGGAATCCTATAGAGATTTTGATCATTTAGCAAAAGATTCATGTGTTTTGGAGAGTTGGAGTCCATTTCCTTGGCCTTAGAATTTTTTTTTTTTAACCTCCCCCTTGCTTGAATCCTTCCTCAACAGTCAATTATCAGCTGGTTTGAAGTTTTGAATGTTCTCCTTTATATTCCAGAGTGCATAATTAAGTGAAAATGGTCCCTGTCTAAAGAAAAGAGGGGTATGTCCACTAGGTCTGAGATGGCCAGGTGCTTGGTGTTGTCTTTTCTCCAGTTCTATTTTGAGCAAATTAGTTGGGGTTGGATGTGGAGATCCTGGCTGTTCTTTCAACAGTGCAATCCTAGAAGACAGTGTATACCTGGGATTCTTGCCTCTGGACTGGAATTGGCCTGAGAGCAAGGAGGCTCCCCTGACAGATGAGCCCCTGAGTCTGCATGGGAGCCCCTGAAGCTTCCCCATAGGGGCAGGGCTGGTGTGGGGAGGCTTGATTGTCTTCATTCCCACAGCTCAACTTCTCCAATTGAAGCCAAGGAGCAACTTTCCTTTTCTGTAGTTTATTGTACTGAGTTGAGAGAGTGAGGGGACATGGGGTAGTAGGGGATGGGAAGAGAACTTTGAGGATCCTCTTTTGAGGGAGGCATGTTGGACTTCCCCAAAATACTGTCACCGTGGACATTATAAATGAAATGTTAACCATACATACTGTTTTAGGATGAAGCAAAAACCTTGGGCCCTGCTTTTCTCCCCACATCCACTGGCCACTTATCTTACTTTTCTCTGATCTCCTTTCCCTTCCCCAGCTTCTCTCCATACCATTGCTTCCCTGCTTTTCCTCGCCACTTTTGCTGGTCTCAGTGCTTGAATTTGTTGTCCCTTCTCTCTGCTGAGGATGCCCAAGTGGAAGGTGTTGCTAGAGGGAAATGGTTTTCATTGCAAATGGGCCCCGTGGGACATCTGAGCTTGCAGCTGGAAGTTCATGCAAATGCCGTTTTCCTCCACCCTGCCCTCCGCCTCCTGGGAAGCTGGGATGTAGCTTCCCCAGGGATGTAGTGCTCCCTGGGTCGTTCAGGAAGACTGCTTAGGTGTGTGGGACACTCCTCTTTTCATGCCCTACTCCTGCTGCTTTGACTTTCCAGTTTCACATTTCCTTTCCCATTTCCCCTGCCTCTTTTTAATTAACCTTTGCCCTTTTCCATCTTTTTCCTTTCTCCTTCTCTCAATACAAAGAGAACACCCACTAGAACTTAACTCAATTTCATCTCCCTTTTTTTCCTGTATCTCTCATACTCCATTTGAAAACACAACCTAAATGTCAATTAGTAACTTCATTTACAGACCGTCAGCCTTGGTATAATTGGATTTGGTGTTATAGGAAGTTTCAGGCACTGCTGGAAATGAACTTGGGGTAGGGGGATATGGAGTATTAATCTCTACTCCTGGCAGAGGAAGCAGGAACCAGAATATCTTATAAGGAAATAATATGGTGTGGTTGAGCGACATCAGAAGCCCCAAGTTTTGTGTCTAGGCCCTCTGCAATCAGAGGACCGTGCACTGGTCTTCATTTTTAAACACAGGGATTATGGCATTTGCCATCACTACTTTGATGGAATGTTTTAAAATCCCAGTGAAGTATGTCTGTGAATTACTTGAAAAATAGGATTATTATTGTTATTTTAATATATAAATGTGTCCAAACAAAATAGCATGTATAAAATGAGCTAACAGTATTGGATGATCTCCAATGATTCCTTCAGGTCCTAGGCTCTGTTTTCCCTAACCAGTGTTTTTTTTTTTTTTTTTTAATAACACAAGTCGGGGCTCAATAATCAGTTGTATGGACAGATATCTAAATATCTAATTTCCTTACATGCCCCTTCCTAGTCCCACGTCCCTTTTCACATTGACACTACTGCCCTCTCCTGGCCATCAGTATTGTTACAGTATATAAGTCCATGGGGGGTGGCCCCTCTCCCTGGCTCCCAGAGCTGGCTCCTTTGCACCATCTTTGGCTTACAATCACTGACTGCCTACCTTTTCTCCTCCTCCCCTTCCCACCCCATCCCTTTCTCCACCTGCCCCTGCAGCACTGCTAGTAACTCCAACCGCAGCACGCCGGCCTGCTCCCCCATCCTCCGGAAGAGGTCTCGATCACCAACCCCGCAGAACCAGGACGGAGACACCATGGTGGAGAAGGGCTCAGATCATTCCTCAGACAAGTCCCCATCCACCCCGGAGCAGGGTGTGCAGCGCAGCTGTTCCTCACAGTCCGGCAGGAGTGGTGGCAAAAATTCCAAGGTGAGCTGAGCCACGCTGACTCTGTGCCTCTGTCGGGGAGGCAGAGAACACCTTCCTCAGATGGCTGAAGGGCCCCGTGTCCCAGAGGTTGTCTCTCCATGAGATGAGGGCAGGGTGAACAGGAAGAACCCTAGTTAAAAATCTTCCCAGCTAAGCACTAATGTTAGAGGGGTCATGGATTAGAAGATGATGCTCCATCCACCCTATCTTTCTTTGGGAGCTAAGGAGACTTATGTCCCTTGAGATCTGGAAGAGAGATGCTTAAGGGATTGGAGGAGGGGTCATTTATTCATCTCTGTTACAGTCTTCAATTTTGGTCCTCAGAACTGGAGTAGAAGGGAGCATTATCTGAGGACAACTGTGTTCCCAGGGAGATAGTAGATAGTCTTCAGAGAACTTCCCAGAATGCTGTTTTTAACCTCTCTAGCCACCATCCTGCCTCATCTTTGTACTAACCCACTTGGTACTCATCTGGCAGAGAGGGCAGTGAAAGGGCTTTTCCATCCCTTTTAGGCATGTGCACCTGAACACCAGGGCCCCTACCTCCAAGGATATGCACAAAGCCCCAGATTGGTTCTGGTTTCCCAGAGAGTTCCCCTTTACCCTTGGTCCTTTGGGAAGCAGGAGGCATACCTGCTCAGGTGCTGCTTCAGGAAGCTTCTCTTCACCAACTGACTCCCAGGACCTGGGAAGGGGCTGGGGACCCCAGGGAGGCATGGGTACTGGTTTCCCACCTGAATTTGTCTTTTGATTTCTTGTTCTTCCTCTTCTTCCCCACCATTTCCCAAATACCTTCTTTGCATGCATGGTCTTAGTCTCACAAGCGCCTCTCAAAAGTAAGCCATCTTTTGTCTCTGTCTTTTTTATCTCCCCTCTAGTGTTGAATTGTCTGTAGTGCTCAGCATCCCTGCCCTCCGCCCCAGCCAATTCTGCCCATGTGTCCTGCTTGGTCCCTTTCCCAGAAGGGCTGGCCCCACTGTTCCCTGGAAGGCTGGCTTGGAAGTAACTGGGCCCATTCCTATTGCACCTGAGGTCGGAGAACTGACCCTGTCCCTGCTCCCCCATGTCTGCCTGCTCCCTGAACACTGCCTCTGGTTGGAATTTATTCCCTCCTTATTTGGTGCCTTCTCGAAGCAGAGTCTGGCAGAGGGAGTTTCATTCCTGGGTGGGGTACACCCCATCCTGTCATATTACAGGTCCCTGTAATCACCCTTGGTGGGTGATTCTGGCTTCCCTGGCAATAGGGATTTGAGATGGGCAGGAAGGACGTGCTGATGGAGGTCAGGAATTCAGGTCAATGAGTTCCCTCATGCAGCAACAGCAACTGTAGGAGCTCTGCCAGGCATGTTCCTTTTCTCCCCCCTCGGAGAGCTACTTAGCTGGGGCACCTCTCACTGTTTCCACCCACTGCCCAGACCAGGGCCCTTCACTGCTTCCACCTACTACCCAGGGTCTGGGTTTATGGTTTTAAGATCCTGAGTCTTGATCAAAGAGAGTGCAGAGGGGCACCTGGAGTTTGAAGAATGTTGCCAGTAACCCAGGCAGGCCCTGGAGAATGGGAGCAGGGCAGGAGACAGAGAGTCTTTCCCAGACCCTAGGGTCTGTGAGGCCTGAAGGGAATTTGAACAAATGTTGGGTAGGCAAAAGGTGTTGTAGGAGTGGTGAGGCACCCCGAGGAATGGTTGCAGCTAAAAGAAGTGGAAGCTAAGGGAGGATGCCTTGTAACAGCCCCAAGTCCTTGTAGGTGCCTTGGGGAGGAGGAGAATGGCAGCAGTTCTTTCCTGCAGGAAGAACAAGAGGCTGCAAAGCTAATTCTGCATTCTGTGACCTTTATCCTGGAAGCATAATGTAGATCTGAGGATGTTCAATGATGATAGATAGCCTGTTGTGGACAGGGGAGGAAGCCAGCAGGAGCTCTCTGGGTTCAAGTGGTGGGGCAGGTGCAGGCATGGCTGATTTCTGAAAATGGGATTTGGTGTGACCTTCATCTGTCCCTCCAGAGTGATTGTACCTCTGCCATAGTTGATATGATAGTGCTCAAGGCCCAGTTGAGGGGAGGCTTGGTCTGATTGGATGTGGACATCAGGTTATTCTTCCTCTTTGCTTCACCCACTTTTCCATCTTAAGGTGATGTTTTATGGTATTTGGTGGGCACTGTAATTCTTACTGATGTCACTGGTCACCACTTAAAGAGTATGAGATTTGGGTGGATGATGGGTTCAATAGGCAAGTACCCAGTAATGAGGACTGATTTCAATGTTAGTCTTTTGGGGGGAAACCAGGCCCATAATTTAATTTTGGAGGTATAGACAGTGTTGCCCAGATTATATACAAACCAAACCTGATTTAAAATCTCACATGTAGGCAGGTATGGTGGTACATACCTGTGATTCCAGTGACTAGGGAGGCTGAGGCAGGAGAATCACAAATTTGAAGCCAGGCTCAGCAACTTAATGTGGCTTGGGGATAGAGGCCTTTGTGTTAAATTCCTAGAACCAAAAAAGAAAAAAAAAAAAAAAGGAAAAGCCAAAACAAAAACCATAAGTACTTCAAGATATATGAATTGACAGGAGAAATCACTGAGTTTGGGTAGCCAAGACACATTGCAGAAAATAGGCAGAATCAGAGTAGGAGTTTGGAGAGGCATTACAAAGGAATTGAGGTGATCTGTGAATCAAGAGCTAATCTTGGCCCCCACTTCCTAAGGAGCTGAGGTGTGGGAGGTGACTGAGCCATTGTGTTTTTCTCTCCCTTTGAGGAGAAGGGACTGAAGCAGAACCATCCAGACAGACACACTCATTGAGTTCCCTGGCTTGGAACACCCGTTCCCCACCCTGTTCTCCCACCAGTCATGACCATCACTCTAACCCGGCTGTCCTCTAAACAGAGTGAAAATAGGACCATGGTCCATCTGGGGCATGCATGTGCGAGACACACAGACTGCAAAAGAGGGACGTGGGAACCAATACAGGAAAAAGGTTGCATGCAAGCCAGGGCTGGAACAGATGGTGAGGGAATGCTGCAGGGGCGAGGCCCGTGTGGGGTGTCCTGATAGAGTGGAGACACACCAACATTCCACGGAACATCTTCCCAGGTTGACCAAATATGTCCATAGTGAGGAATCTGAGAACCAGAGCTGTTAATGTTATAATCATAGTTAGGCCACCTCACTCCCTGTCTCCTGTCCATTCTCTAGGAAAGATCATCTCTTGTGTTTTCCATTTAAGCTAAGAATGCCTCCTCTTCTCCCCAGAGTGAGAACTAATGCCCAGTCTCTTTTCTTCTCTGGCCTCTATTTATTCATGTTGGGGGTGGACTAGGCCATCCCTAAGGTCTCACACTCTTGAACTTTATGCAGTAGAGGCTGATGCTTTCTTCTTCCCAGAGCATAGGCTGGGGAACTCAGGCTGACCCCACTCCCAGGAATCTCTGCCCTTACTCCACCATCCAGACCTCACTTGGTAGTGACAGCCTATACCCACTAGAGGGAGCCAAGGCCTGGTTTCCTGCTCCCACCTGCTCCTAGAAGTGATCTGCCCTCCCCTGCTCTGACCTGCCTAGGTGGTGCCAAGGCGATGGGGACAGTAAGTTCTTGGCTTTGGCCCTCCATTGCACCTCTCTGGGTGCATAGCATCACCCTGTGCTGTGGTGCTAATGCTCTTTTGACATTTTTTCCCTTTTGAAAATATTTCTAATTTCTGTGGTTTTCTTTTCAGTATGACAGACTTAACCTGATCAAAGTAAGATTTTTTTTTGTCCCTAACTGCTACTAAATGTAGAGCTTGTAGCCGTCATCCACCCCAGCCCCACCCAGCCCCACCTCCACCCCAATCCTGTCTCCAGGCTCTCTGAGCCTTGGCTCTGGAAGATGTTTTTGGATTTGGAGCAGGAGACCACCTTGAGGTGACTTGGGTCTATTTTGGGGGGCTTGGTGTACCTTCCAGTCTTTGCTCTTTAGCTGCCTTCTAGGAAAGGCAATGGAAACACCAAACGAGCCCTGATCAATTCCTGTCTCTGACAGCTCTTTTTTTTCTACTCCTCCTTCACCTTTTGGCCAAATTTGTGTATAAGCTAAAGGAACCCCACTTCCCCTTCCCTTGTTCTGCCCCTTCTTTCCCTCTGGTTCTGTCCTCCAAGTAGGGGTGTTCTGATGAGCTTACAAGGGAAGGCATCTGCCTTTTCCCCTTCTCAATATCCCAGGCTGGCAACCTCCCTGATTTCCCTGTAATTGGCTCCTTTAGGACTTAGTCGAGGAATACACAGCCATGAAGATGTAATTGACCTCCAAGCTCAGAAACTTCTGCCTGCTATGGATAGTTTTTGTGTCTAGTGTGGATTTTGCTAGAGGCATAGGTCCTCATTTGCCTCAGAGGCAATCTCAGTGATGACAGATGAGAAGCTGATCAGAGTTAGCTGGTTAGAGGTAGAGCCAGGAGTCCTTGCTCTGGATGGTGTATTTCACATTTCGAGTATTTGAGAATATCTGTTCTCATCTACCTTTTTCAAAAGAGCAAATATTAGATACAAAGTTATCACAGAGCTAGTTAGAGATGAGACAAAAGGGGTTTTCTGGTTAAAGCTTTTTGTGATGCCTGAAACTCTTTGTTCCGTACAGATTCAAAAGGGGCAGGAGTCTTGATGCCAGTGCATAGAAGGTGAAAGTCTTTTCTTCCTACATGGGACAGGAGAGAGGGCACCATGGAGAGGAATCCCAAAGAATCTGGGATCTCCCACCCTATACCTAAGTTCCAGTTGTCCTCTTTGCTCCTAGGGTCTTATACAAAGGCCAGGACCAGGAATGAGACAGCAGGTGTAGATGATAGGAACCTTTCTCATCTACGAAGCAGACGTCTGATGACCTGGTTTGGTATTAATGAAGTTCAAGGAAACTGTGAGGCAGTTGAGGCAGCAACTCCAAGAATGGTCTGTATGGTCTGTATGGTCTCAGTGTCAAGAGTTTCTGTGTGAGCACCCAGGAAGTAAGACATCCTGAGGCACAAATCAAGTTAGATGCAGCCTGCTTGTCCCATCCACCCTCTCCAGACATGGGAACCTTGACTAAAATGCTTTTTGGAGAGTTTTCAGGTCTAGGATTCCCATATAGCAACATCCCCTTCCATGATGAAATGGTTGTTTTTGAGTATCCAGATTTAGCCCTTTACCTTCTAAGGCCCTTGGATTGGCAGAGGGGATGATACTATAGTAACAGTATGTGACTTCTGGATTAGACCATTGATGGTGTTTTGGAGAATGACCATGGAGAGTCCCTTGCAGAGGGGAATTGAGAACTGGCTTTGCCATCTGCCATGTTGGCCACAGTCTTGGCTGGTGAGGTTGGTGCGAGGGTGAAACCAGGGGCAGCACGTCCATGGCTAATCCCCCTTTCTTGCCCTCTCCAGAGCCTCTGCAGATTCATGTTACCTTCAAAATGTGTCTCCAGTTTCTTCTGATGGAATAGAAGGGGAGATTGGTCCCTTGACTCTCCCGTCATCATTGTGGTCATACTCACCAACACCCTGTTCCAGTCACCTTCACCCCACCAGACACATGCCCTACAGACAAGCTGAGACAGTGGCTGCCCTCTTAACACGAGGGGAGGGCATGAGGGCTGCTAATTATGCATAGGATCCGTACCTCTGGGTCAGGTTGAAGTTTTGACCTGGAGGTAAAGTTTCTGTCTATCATCCCAGTGGGATGTATACAAATGAATTCTGTTGGTGGACATGGGAAACAGACAAGGCATAATCTAGTCATCCCTCTTCTTTCCCTGGGAGATTTTCAGATCCCATTCTTCCAGGGGACTGCAAATGGAGAACTTCTGAATTCTGGAGCTGGGGTGGAGTATGGTTTTGCTGATACTGAATTATAACACCTGGAGTTGGAAAGGACCTTTAGAAATTACACAAAGAACCCACAGTCATTCCTCTGCTATTATCACTTACATCATCAGCCAGTTGTTGAGATATAAGAAGGAATTCACTCATCTGCTAACTGAGAGAATAGCTTGAAGGTGATTTCAGGCAGTCCCTTTTCTTCCCCTGTCACCGAAGTGTCCCACCCTGCCTTCTCTAGAGAAGCTGACTTGGAGCAGGAGGCTGGGTTGGTCTCCATCTGTACTTTGCTTCTGATCAGGGCCCATTGGGGACTGGGTCTCGGATGCCCCCAGAGCATCCCGCATCCCCATCAGAAGAAGCTGATGGGGCTCCGACTCCCTTCCAATTGAGCGCTAGCTGGTGCTGCCGCTGCCTGCCTCCCCAACCGCCCCACCCTGGTGGGGCTTCCAGCATGGACTGCTCCCTGGGCCTCCTTTCTGGAGCTCTCTGAGAAAGGAGGACCCCTCCTGAGCAGCAACATGGGAAGCATTCAGCTGCACTTGGATTCGTCCTCCCTGCCCACCCTCTGCTATCTATGTGTCCTTCCCTCTGGAGCCAGACGTACTCTGGCCACTCCCCGCATCTCCTCCATGACTAATTTTACTTTTCTCTTTGATTTGTTTTTTCAGAAAAGCCAGAGTTGGTACAACGTAAGTATTCCTGTTTCTCTTCTTGTCGGGTCTATGGGGGGTGGGGTAGAGGTGGTCAGCTGGGAGGGGGAAGTGGGAGTGCTGTTTGGCTTCCCCATGGATTTTCCCCCTAATCTGCTTCCTCCTTCCCCAGACCAAATAGAATAGTTTTCCTCTGTAGCAAGACAGGGCAGCCCTGGTGAGGGAGGATTTGATTCAGTGACACCAGGAGGGATGGCCTGGTTTATCCCTTGTGTCTCCCAGAACTCTTGGATAAGCCCCTTCTGCATCCTAGAAGGGGAGAGCAGCCTGAGAGGACTGGGGCAGGGGTATGAACTCAGGCCAAACTTTCCATCCTTTAATTAAGACATCTTGGGGGAGATACAGCCCATAGGACTTTTCTTCAGGAACTGAGAAGCTGTCCTATGTAATGTAGTTTGGCTTCTGCCCCAAAGCATGCTCCTCCTAGAAGACATCCCCTGACCTTGGGTCTATGGTGAAGGTGTGATTAGGACCATTTCTTAAGTCACCCCGGGTGGCACTTCATCCATCCATCCACTTTTTTCCATATTGAGAAAGTGTTTGCGGAGTAAGCAGTCCTTGCAAAAGCCACATCTTCTTGGTCATATACACTGAGGTTTAGGACTTTGAACTCTTCCTCTGAAGAGCAGCTGACCAAGGTCTCTCAGCCGGCCCTTCTGGGACCACAGTAGAGGAACAGGCGTGTTTCACCATGGCCTGGCTTCGGACCTCACCTTCCTTTCTCTGAGCCTGCTGGCCTTCATACTAGACTCTGATCACGGGCATGCCATCTTTGGCCCCTCCTTACATGTGGTTTTGCTCCAGCAGGAGGTGTGGATGTAGAAAAGCTGTCAGGGAAAGGGCCCGTGAATGACAGATGGAGGGCAGAGACAGCGGTCCCTGGGAAGGGCTTGGGTTTCATATGGGACTGGGTCCAAATCACACATGTGGGCTGTGTGTTTTCATACATGGCAGCAGTTCCTCAAAGTCAGGAACATGCCATCTCATTTTGTGACTTTCCACCTTGAGCCGCTCGGTGGCCTGTCTTTTCATGGGTGTTATTGATCGATCTGCAGGCCTCAGTCCCACCTCAGGGCTTTGCTGATAGGAGGGAGTCAAGGGTTGAGATGGCCTGGCGTGGGAGAAGAGCCACAACACTCATGCTTGCTCCTTCCCTCTTGACCCATCAGGGGGTCACCTGGCCTCTGGCCTCAGGTCTCTCCAAACTGCTCAGAGCTCCTGTGCTCGAGGATCCAGAAGCACCCTGTGTTAGGGAGGGGAAGAGGAGTGATAGCTGTGCTTTCTGGGAGCTGTCCCTGTCCCAGCTGTGGTCAGGACATCTTTTGCCCAAGAATTCCTTTTTGAGCAGCACTGCATGAAATAGAGCCTCCAAAGAGGAACAGAAAGTACACACTTGCAGGCTTACTAGAGAATTAAAACACGCAAATTTGAACATTAAAGTCCTTTTTCTTGTTCCTGATATCCTCCTCTTATCTTTCTATTTCTCTCTTTTGTTGCTTTTTAGCTCAGTCCCTTCTGTTTTGTCTTGCTTCTCCCTTTCTTGTGTATTTCTCTACTTTTTACTCTCTGACCACCTTTCTCCCATCTTTTTCTTCCATCCTCCTGTCTGGCCTACTTTTTCTCCCTGATTCTAATAGCTTTTACTTTCTCTCTGCTACCCCTTTCACCTCCAAGTCTTTCTCCTTCAGCCCCACATAGACTCAGTTTGGTGACAAGCTAGGAGGTGCTATCTCTTGGCTAGAGGATGGGTTGGGCCAGCTGCCCTCTGGGGCCCCGGAAGCCCAGGTTCCCCTGACTGGAGGAACCGTGCATGGCTGGAGCCCTAGTTCCTGGCTGATTCTACTTGCAACCAGAGACTTGCTGCAGCAGTGGAACCTCACTGACCCTTCCAGCCCTCCTCCAGGGTAACCAACCTGGGTGAAGCTCTCTGCCCTCTGTGTGGCTCTTTGTGGCTGCCCTCCATAGGGCTGCTTTCTTCTTGGCCCTGCTAAATGTCTGCAGTAGAGTCCTGACGCAGGGTTCTACTGGTGCAGGCAGCAGAAAGGAATAAACATGAGGAAAGAAAGAGAAATAGCAGGTAAAGATTGGGAGAAAGAGACAGAAGCTGAGAGGTGGCAAGTGGCCCCCAGTGGCCTGAACTACAGAGGTCAGGAGGCCTGACTGGGGTTTACACAGTTGATCATCTCTTATTTCATTTTATTTTCATATTTCCTTCATATGTTTTCATCACCAGAGGTAGCACTTCTGGAAGGTAATCAGTTACTGCCGTACTGGAGGGGCCAGTAGAAAGCAGCACTGAAAATGGGCCTGTGGGACAATACCCTCTGCCCCCAAGTAAGAACCTTGCTTTCTTCCTGAGGCCGAGGGTAACTCCCCAGCTTGGACTTTTCCACAGCTGGGCATCTGTGGAGCAAGCAGAGTGCTGCCCGTTATACTCCCTAGAAGTCCACCCTCCCAGGTCCTCTCCGATAGTACTAGCGCATTTACCCATGACACTGGCCCAAGTGTGGTTGTTTCCAGGCTGGAACAGCAAGCCCTGACCTGGTTGTTCCCAGAGTCACCTGAATCAATACATAGAGAGGCTCCTGGCACCTGCCATGCCCACACCTGTGCCCTGGGCTAGCTGGGCACCCTCTCTTTCAGTGCACACGCATGGGCTATGCTCTTGTGTTCAGATGTGCTGTCAGGGGAAGCTTTGGTTGAATACCCGCAGCTCCCCAGCTCTGCCCTGCAGTTGCTCACTTGCACTCCTTCAGGAGGCCCTGCCCTGCCTCTGTTTTTTGACCTGGCTTCTGTTTTTCTTCATCTCTCAGACCTCTTATCTGTCACCTGCAGTGCCCTGGGCTGGTTGGAATCTGACCTCCAGGGAGGACCCCATCTCCCCTTCTTAGTCTGCCCAGCAGTGTTTCTTCTAATCTCTTTCCGGATACTACTGTCAGCTTTCCAGCTGTTCTGATGCCTCAGACTCCATCATGGTACTTAGAAGTCCTTCAGGCTTTGTAATACTGAGCCCTGGGGACAGTAGATACCCTTGGCCAATGAGAGAGAGAGAAGTGACAATCAGGGCGCAACAGAGTGCTGCCCATTGCCTGGGCATCCGAGGCCCGTTTGACTGGTTTGAGTCTGATGTGAGAGGAAGCCCACCTACCACCTCCCCACCCACACTCCAGCCTCCACCTTCACCTGCCACTTGCCTGCAGAAGATGGAACATTTTACTTCACGTATTTAGCCAGGGAGGAGCTGTCATCACTAGGACAAACTACCTTGATCTAAAGAGTGGGTTACACAATGGACGTGGCTGGACCCTGGGATACAAGGAATGGCTGAAGAGAGACAGTATCAGGTCAGGGGTGGGGTTTGAAGATCCTGCCTTGTACCGCTGCCCTGAGGCCAGGTTACACCTGCTTCTTCTTTTCCTTCTTTACCACCCCAGTTTTATTCAGCAAAGTGTCTAGTTTAGGGAGTGAGGCATGGCCCCTGCAGAAATGAGGTAGAGATATAAGCAGAGACGGGGCTTTGCCTTCAGCAAAGAACCATGGGATGAGTTGAGGGTAACAAAGTCAGGACCAGAGTGGGCATGAATCTCAGGTGAGACAGGGTCACAGAGGTCTCTTGGCTGTGGCTCAGCTGGGCAGATAACACCCAAATCTATCTCATCTCACTACTGAGATGTTAGCCATCTCCATGGCAACCAGGACAGGAGCCTCATGCTAGGCAGAGACCTAGCATCCTAGTCACCTGCTGCTCCCCCATTAGGGGTGGTGGCTTTCTGGAAGGGAGGAAGGGTCAGTGGCAATCCTGTGGAATGTCAAGCAGGTCTGGATGGCTCGGTTTGAATGCTAAAGAACAAAGCTTTGTAGGAATGATATTCCAGGTGTTGCGGTTAGAGGCAGTGGAGAAAGTGGGAGAGCTGAAAGGAATCCTCCTGCCTTAGCCACCTGAGTCACTGGGATTATAGGCATGTGTCACTGTGCCCAGCATTTACAGATAACTTGAAGAGTCTTCCTGATCTCTTCTCCCCCTGACATCCCATCCTTAACTCTCTCCAGAGAAGTGTCACCTCTGCAGGTGAGACCCCTTTCCCAGCCCACCTCTTTCCCCACCCTTCTGCCTCGTACCTATTCCTGATGCTCAGTCACCATTCCCTGTTGGTTGTCCCAATCTGGCTTTATCTGGCTTCTGCCTACCGGATTAGGTTGGAGCACCAGGATTTCCTTTGTGGATCTTAACTAGTTTCTCCGGGTTGGGGGGGGCGGTATGTGCAGTGTTCTACCAGAATCCGTTTGTTTTTCTCCTTAGCGCCCCACCTCCTCCTTCCTGCTGATCATGGGAAGGGGGTACCATTTGGTCCCAGTACCAGATGTTTGCCATAGAGTTAATGTTTAGCCCAAGGTAATTCCTGGTGCTCAGGCTCCTGCCCTGCCCTGCCCAGCCCTTGGTGAGTGGGTAGAGGAAACCAAGACTGAGGCTTACTGAGACTCATCCCCCAGGGTGTTATCTCTCTGGGTGTGTACTTTTCCTATCTCACCTAAATAGTAGTCATCTCATTTGGCTTGTATCAATGGCTTGTAATCAAATGTTTCCTGGGAATTATTTTAAGGATCTAGAGACTTTTAGAACTATCTACCGCCTCTATATTGAGGTGTGGTGTGGCTCTGAAGAGAGGAAAATGGAATTGCTTCATTGGTCTCTCATGGTGCTGAGGGTGGAACTGACATGCAAGACAGAGAGAATCTTGACAGTGCTGGAGAGACTGTGATCAGGGACTAGGCTCTGAGAAGCCAGATGTGCAAGTCAGGGATCCCCACATGAGTAAGCATGTATGCACACAAAATGCATCGTTGACGGGAACAGTTAGGGGTATAAGGAATGCATTCATTTGGTAAATAAATTTTTAACTCCTGCTACTGAAACACATCATGTTGACTTCTGTGGAAGCCATGAAGCTGTTTGAAGCAGGGATCCTTCCTGGGGAAGATGGAAGTAGGTTACCTGGCACCATGAATGGAGGCTGTGGCAGCCTTCAGTGGGTGTCTGTTGAGAGGGAGGCAGAGGGGATTGTTAAGAGACGGTTTGGGGGAGATTTACCGGGGTCAACCCAGATTACTCTTGATTAACATCCATCTAGGACTCTGTTTTCTTTAATGTGTTCACTGGGTGATTTTTAAATATTGCTGAAGTTTGAGTCCTACTGTAGTACCAAACTACTAAGGCTCCTAGGACAAAGGCACTCCGTCCTTCCTCAGGAACAGGCCCAAGACCCTCCTGGTAAGGTGGCCTAGTTGGGGAGGGTGAGGGAGCTGCCCCAATCTGCATCGCTGTAGTCCCACTGTCTCAGGCCTGTTTTGAGTGCCCCTTTCTGGAGGCTTTCTTGCCCCTATTGGCCTAGCTCCCATTCTTCTCTATATTTGGCTGCCCCCTCTGACAAGGGGCCAAATTCTCTGCACTTAGCATTGCTCCTTTGCCCTCAAGGTCTGAGCAGCTGTCTGGGAATCCACTTGGCCTCCATCCCCCCTCCTATTAATGCTGAAGATGGGGCAGGGTCTTTGGAAAGGAACGAGGTGCCTCATCCAGACCCCAAAGCTGTTGACCTCAACTTCCCCAGGCTATCTGCCCAACTTCTTCCAGGCTAGCACATGTGAGACTCACTAGATCAGTTATTAAATCCCAAGTCACCAGCTGCAGTTACAGGGCAGTTGGTACATGGATGGGCCAGCAAAGGGAGAATGTGTCCCTAAGAAGTCCCTGGCTGTCTGAGTCTCAAATTTCAGATTTCATCAGAAGAGTAGTGCCCTTAGCACCTCCCCTGCCTCTCCCCCCACTTGGAGCCCTGGCCAGCAACTTTCCATTGCAGGAAACATCTGCTGGGGAGGCCAGGCTGGGCCAGGGGTTACTGCAGGACATTGGCCAGGACCATCACCCAGATCCTGTAACTTGAAGCATGTGCAGGGCTCTGGCCCTTCCCGCCCACCACCCTGCCTCCCTCCCTCCTGCCACGATGACTCTTAACAAAGAAGTTGTTTGCTGTCCAGCTGAAAGGAGCGGGGTCTAAAGGAAAAAGGGGTGTGTTGCAGGGGTGGGGATGAGAGCAGGCTGCTGCTGACTGGTGGCCGCTCTGCCTGGGTGAGGGATGTGAGTCATAGCGGCCCCAGCCTGCCCTGGGTAGATTGCACGTTGATTAACGTGCCACTCTGTGGGACAGATCAAGACCGGGGAGCTGAGCCTTCAAGTGGCTCTCTGGAGCTTCCCTCCAACTATGAGTCACTTGGCTGTGTGTGAGTAGCTGGACCTCTGGACCTGGACGTGAGGCATTCTATTCCTGGGAGGTTTGCCTGTCCACCGGGGCCTGCCCTCGAGAACCCTCAGCCAGCACTATCTGCCTGCTGTGTCTGCATCTTCAGGCCTGTGATGGACTCTTGGGGGTGACTGCACTGATCAGGAGGAGGTGCTTGACCACAGCCCCTCTGGCCCACCTGAGCCCGAAGACCTGCCAACAAGGACAAAGCAGAGCCCAGCTGTGGGACACTGGCCAGCCAGCCTGTCCCAAGAACCATGCTGATCACATCCTCTCACTTGTGAAGCTTTGCACAGCTCTGGGAAAGAAAAGGACATTGGCTGGGGTCACACAGACCCTCTCTCCAAAAGCCAGAGGTCATTCTTCTGCAATTCACTCCCAGTGAGGCCACTTGTTTTCATCCTGTGGGGACAGTTGGGAGTCAGAGCCAAGGAGCTGGGCTCCACTGGGAGAGGGAGCTGTGGAAGAGTGTTGCGATGGAATCTTTGGTGGAGTCTGGGGTTCTCTGGAGCCTCCTGTTGGAGCAGGAAAGCCCATCGTTATGGTGGTCCTCAAGGAGATTTCTCGATGAACCTGCTGATGCTGGACACTGTTGCTTGCATGGATCTGAGGAAGTCCCAGCCGTGAGTGTGTGACCTGATTTCTCTCCGTGACCAGTTTTTGCACCCTCACATGCCCCACTTGGCTTTGCCCCCCAAGGGCCCCAGATTTGACAACTCTTGAACCAAACTTTTTCAGCCATTTAAATAGACAAGCCATGCCTCACCTTTGGAGGAATTTGCTTTAGGAGTGCCTGGGGTGGGAGGTAGAGGGCCAGGGTCCCGTGGCTTCAAGACACTATGTGGTTGCAGGCCAAACATGCCCACCTAATGTGTCTCAGCACTTTGGGTTGCAGTGGGGAGAGGCTGGCCACTTGCACTGATTGATAGCCTGATAGAATAAGGATATCTCTGTGCAAATATGGAGTAAATCTTTAGAAGACTCGCTTGCCCCCTCTCCATCACTACAGCTTTGTTCCAAGCAGAAGAGAGGAGTAGCACTCTTGATCTGCCTGTGTTTGGGAGATTGTGGCCAGACTCCTACACTTCCATCTCTATAGATGTCTGGGCTCTCACTGGATATAAGAGAAACGGGGGGAGAGGGCAACATGGAAGAAAATCTAGAAACAGGAGAACTTCCAGGCATCTGTTTCCTCATCAGGATGTCTCACTATGTTCAGTTTCACCTGAAAGGGTTTGTGGCCACTGATAGGCCACTCCTCAGTCTGATCCTGGAAGGCTGGTGGGGCCGTAGAGCAGGTGAACATCTCATCTTGAGAGATTGGGCTATTGTGGATGGCTCTTCTTTCCTCCTTGGCACAAGAACAGGGCTCCCCCTCTTTGCACCTCACTTTTGTTCAGTATAAGGTAGGATAATAAAAACCACCTTGCGGTCAGATGCAGTGATGCATGTGATAGGCTGAGTCTGTGCTTGATATGTGGTAACAGCTCTTTCCATGTCAGGTTCTCTGCAGTTCTAGAAGGCTAGTTAGACAGGAGGGGACCATACTGGTGACCAGGTAGTCAAGCAAGAGTTTCCAATGTGTGTGGACTCTTGTTCCAAGAGGCCAGGGGGCCATGTGGGTTAGATGACCCTCTGCCAGCCTGGAACTAATACAAAGATCAGAGGATTATTGTATCTGAGGTCTTTTTTGGCCATAGAAGTCATAGGATGGGTAGGCTTCCTGATGGCAACCTGCAATTGTCCTGATTCAAACCTGGTTCAAACACATGGCAGGTGGTTTTGAAAGTTGGGGTTCTATGACCACATGCCATTGTTTGGGGGGAAGTTAACAGGGCACACATCATTGCAAGTGGAGCTCATTCTGTAAATAAGCCAAGAACAAAGGCTGAAAATTTAATTAACTGGACAAAGTAGTTAGAAATACTTTTTTCCTCCCTTGTACTTTCCTGTGTTCATCTCCCCCAAACCTCCTCAAACTAAAGGCATGTCATTTTCTCTCCCAATTTCTTCCTGAAAGCTCCTCTTTCTTTAGTACAAAGACCATTTGACCATAGCTCAGGTAGGCAGTGCAGTGTGCAGATGTCAGCAGACCCCAGCTTTGGTTCCCTCATGATCCACTTAGCTCTGTAGAAAGCACCCAGAATGAGCAGTTGAAAGGTTGTTCCCTCACCACCACAGCTTTATGCAGCAGATTCCCAGGGAAGTGGGTGAAAAAGTGAAAAAGGCCAAGACCCATGTGTCACCACCAGCAGGACGATCCGTCCTCAGGCACGAGCTCCTGGCTGAGGGTCAACAGTATTTTTTTTTTCTGCATAAATAGGTCAGTGCATTGCCGGGTGGAGTGCAGATGTCCTGTGTAGTTTATGTTTCATCGTTGGTGTCCTTTGTCTTTGGGTACTTACATTTTTTTGTTTGTATTTATTTAGTTTTAAGATTGGTAAGAGTTCCTCTATTTATTCACCTGGCTCATCTCTAAGGAGGATTTGCTAAGGCAGTCCATGAATCTGAGCCTGTACCAAGGCCTCTGTGAAAATGAGGTGGGCACAGGGGGCATCTAGTGGCCCAGGTGGTGGTAGGGCACAGGGCAGGGCCAGAGATGCAAAGCATGTTGCAGGGTCAGATTTTCTGCGCTTGTTTTCTCTACCAGGTCCCTGCTCCTCATCTGGCCTCCTAGGGCTTATGAGTCCCCATATTTTAGTCTTGTCTTGGGGCCAGTGGTTGTGTGGACAGGGGCAGGGGGCTTCTCTCTGGCCTTAGTTTCTTCACTGGTACTGTAGGTGCTGATGGATCATCTTGTAAAGATGGGAAGGGAATTGGGTGCCTTGTGTGCCGGATATGCTTTTAAATCCTCTATCCCATGTGATTTTTTTTAGCACTGGTTTTATGATTTTTTTTTTAAAACACTGTTATGATTTTTTTAAAGTCATGTCTTTCACACACAGCCAAGTGCTCACTGTGTTAGTTATTACAGCAACTTCTGAGAGGTGTGCTCCCTATCCTGTCCCAAGTCCTGCTGGGTACTGATTTGTCTCCTGAGGCCCCTGCTTCACTCTCTCAGTGGTTCTACCAGCTGGCAGAAAGCAGAGCACCAATAGCGGCATGGTGGGCTTCAGGAAGTAACCTGCAGGTGTCCCTTCTTCCTTTGTCTTCTTGGGACATAAGTGGGCCCTGGCTTTATTTTTTGATATTTTCTCACTTATGGATGCTGGACACACAGTTTTGCAGGATCCGGTTCTCTACACTGTTGTTCCATGCCAAGCGCCCTTTCCTGAGCTGGCTTTCTTGGGCCTCTGGGTTAGCAGAGCCTTACCTTTACCTATTTAACAGAAGCAAGTGCTCCTCTAACCCGTAGAAACTGAGTACTTTTCACTAACCATGGCCATTGTTATGCAGGTGTTAAGCCCCACTTACAAGCAGAGAAATGAAGACTTCAGAAAGCTCTTTAAGCAACTTCCAGACACGGAGCGCCTCATTGTTGGTGAGCTGGGAACCCTGGGAGGGGCCAGGCAGAAGTCTGGGAGTTGTAGAGATAGCACCCAGGCTGCTTCTGGCTAGAGGCTGAGAGCCTACCCAAGTGAGCTTGTATATCTGGCAACTGGGAGAGAGCATGTCAGAGCACTGGCCCTGGCTGGCAGGGCTCTGGGCTGAGCACCCAGTTTATGGCAAGAGCCCAACTTATAGGAAGTACCTGGAACACTTACCTCTGTAGATGATCAAGCAGTGGAAGGGATTGGCATGGTCATCGGTGGTGAAAAAGAAATTGAATTTTATTGACCTCCTTATCCCTAGCTTTCCTGGCCCCCTCTGCTGTCACATTCATTCTGCCTCTAGGCAGTAGCGTATTTTACCACCTCCATGTTTCTGATCATGAGATGCCTGGGTCTTCTTGGCTGCTAGTTTCAGTGTCTCGCACACCGAGTCACCGTAGGTGATTTGGTTCCCCTAGTGCTGGTGGGAGCGATGACAGGTCTACAGTTTGCTAAAAATGCTTCCTGCCTCTGAGCTTCCTCTTGTCCTGCTTCTTACCACAGATTACTCATGTGCACTCCAAAGAGACATTCTTCTTCAGGGCCGACTCTACCTCTCAGAAAATTGGATCTGCTTCTACAGCAACATCTTCCGCTGGGAAACTCTGGTAAAGATCTAGGACTCAGGCTAGGGGTATAGTTTAGTGGTTGAGCACTTGCCTAGCATGTGCAAGGCAACATGGTTTGATTCCCAGTACTGGGAAAGAAGAAAGAAAAGACCTGGGACTTGCTCCCTTGGGCTGTCTTCTTGGCTAGGGCTGAGAAATTTGCCCTCACTTCCCTCCTTTGCCTGACTTTGTGTTCTCTTCAAACCTTTGCACAGATTACAAAAACACATGACTGAGTCTTGAAGGATATCCATTCGTGTATGAGTCCCAGTAGTGGGGTCTCCTCTGCCATATATTTCCCTCCTACCTTTTGGATGTGGAAGAGGGCACAAAGAGCATTTACTTTCGGCGAATGCAGTTATTTAGTGCGAGTTAACTGCAGAGGGAGGCATAGTAGACAGGGCATTGACCTTGGGATTCAAAAGACTTGGCCTGCATGTTTTCTGGATTCTGCAGTTAATTAGCTGTAGGATGATGGGCCAGTCCTTTCCTTCCCTCATTCTTATAAAATAGAGAAAGATTAAGTGGATGATTTTTATTGTTCTATCCAGCATCTATGTTCAGTATTTCTTTAAGTGGAAAAACCTTTGCAGTATCACCGCATATTTAGCAGACTAGAAATGAGAAAGAAAGAAAAAAAAATCTTCCTAGACCAAGAATCAAGATATCCATGAGTGTAGACAAGGCTTAGTCTTTACCTCGCTATGTGGCCACTGTGACAGAAGGGGGTAAACCAGATGATCTCAAAGGTGGTTCCTTCCAGGATTAGAAATATGTGAGCCATGATCTGATTTCCTCTGTCTGCATTGATGCTGCCCAATCACTCTACCTAATTCTTTGTTGCCTCCTCTTGTTGTCCATTCTCTGTCCCTGCGGGGGTGCCAGCTGACAGTCCGTTTGAAAGATATCTGCTCCATGACAAAAGAAAAAACAGCTCGCCTCATCCCCAATGCCATCCAAGTTTGCACTGATTCAGAAAAGGTAAGTGCAGCCAAATTCTGGCCTTTCTCCCTGCCCACCCTGCACCCTCCACACCCTGCTTTCCGTACTCCTGCATTTCTGCCCTTAAATTGCATTAATCTGGAGGCTAGGAGGATTGGGGCAAAAGGCCATGAGGGAGAAGCAAACTCCCAGAGTGACTCTTGGCATGGCATGGACAGGGTGGCTAAAGGCTGAGTAGGGGGAGAGGGGCCTGGTGCAGCACTGAATGTGGAGCCAGAGGACCTGAATGTGGGCCCCATGACTGTAGGCATTAGGTAACCTCTCTGAGCCTGTTTCCTCATGTGAGAAATTGACCCAGTATCCAAACCGAGCATTGAAATAACATCACATATTTGAAAACATTAAGTTGTAAAGCACTACACAAACTGGAAGTAGGTCTGATAGGAAATGGGTTGTCCTTATCAGTATGAGGAAAATGTGGTAGATAAAATTTAAGATAGGAAAATCAGTGATCTTTGATCTTTAAGCAGAAAATGAAGGCAAAGAGATCCAAAGGTAGGGGTGGGCTAGGTTTCTGTGGAAGACAGTCTACAATTTCCATGAGTCTAACAGTTCAGTGGCAAGAGCTGGCCTTTGGTTCCAATTCTCTTTCTGGCACTAACCATCTTTGTGATCATGGAGGCTGCTAACCTCATCAGCCTGGCACTAATTGTTAGCACTTTTATTCATTGTCCAAGTTTTTTTGTGTGGCTTGTACAAAATAGCATTTGTCAAACATTGAGTAGGTAGGTGCACAGTAAAATTTAGTTTTCCACTGCTTGCTTCCTGCTTATTGTAAAAGATCTTCATTAATGGGTTAGCTCTCTGGGAGCAGGATCTGTTTCTGTTCTGTATGTGTTGTACCTTAAACATAGAATAGTGCCTAGCTCCACAAATATTCAAATAGTAGTTGAATGAATTAGAAGTGTAAGTCTGTGGCTGTGTGTAATCCTTCCATTTAGGTTAGTTGCCAGCTCAGTTCTTACCCACTTCCAGTAGGTGGGTAAAGGACTTTTGGGTAATGAGGATTGAACCCAAAGGTGTCTTACCAATGAGCTACATTTTCCCCAGCCATTTTTATTTATTTTGAGACAGGGTTTTGCTTTGTTGTTGAGGGTCTTGTTAAGTTGCTGAGATTGGCTTTGAACTTGTGATCCTTCTGCCTCAGCCTCCCAAATCATTGGAATAACATGCATGTGCCATTGTGCCAGGCAGGACACAGTGGGGGTAAACCAGATGATCTCAAAGGTGGTCCCTTCCAGGCTTAAAAATATTGCCTCTGTCTGTATTGCTGCTGCCTGATCTCTCTTTTCCTAACTCTTTGATGCCTCCTCTTGTTATGGAGATAAAAGTTTTAAACCAGAGAGGAAAATACTGAAAAGGATGTAGTAAAAATTCTGAAGGATCTGGTAATAGTGAGGACTTAGAGGTCCCAGGTACACAGGTCCCCAATATGTTGACCTGTCATTAGCATACCTGTGTACTGATTATGGATAACTGAAAGTCATTAGTGTTTGAGGATGAAGTCAGTATCTTTAGTTTAAAAGGAAGACCATGTCTCCATTCAATATATTGTAAATATTAACTGGAATTTCTTGCCGTTTTGTCTTCCAATCTAGCACTTTTTCACTTCTTTTGGGGCCCGGGATAGAACCTATATGATGATGTTCCGGCTCTGGCAGAATGCTCTCCTTGAGAAGGTAAGTACTGCCCAGCTGTTTCCTTCAGCCTTAGGATGTACATCCACCCAGGATGTTGTTCACACTTGGGTACTGACCTCATGGGAAGATTGCTTCAAGGGAGTCTGTGTCGCCTCATGGTCTGGAAATCCCCCAGACGGTGAGGGGCACATTCTTCCATGGTAGTATTGATTCTAAGTCCTGAAAGTTCCACATTACCAGAGAATGTCCTCAGCACTACTAGGAGGAAGACACTTGTGAATTAAAGCACGTTGGTTCCACTGTTTTAAAATGAAATGGGATTTTAAAAATCATATTTAGTAAAACATGTAGTTACAGAATGACTGTCATGAAGGAAGAAGCTTTTAGATTCACAGATCCCTAGAAACAAGGGAACAGCCTGCCTCACCGGGTCACCGGGAAAGCACCAGGGTCTATCATGAGGTGGAGGGATGAGGGGAAAGCCTGGGCAGGAGCCTTTTTTTTTTTAATTTAAAAATTTTTTTTAGTTGTCGATGGACTTATAAATTAACTAATTAATACATGATACTGAGAATCGGACCCACACAGGTTTAGGGCTGGCTAGTTTGAATAATCTTACCAGGCTTCAAGGTATGGGGGACTGTCTTTCATTGTCTGGTACCTGGCCCTGAGGGTACCAGTCAGGCTGAATAGAGAAGTGTGGATATGAACTTTGGATTAATTGGTTGCATTTGAGTGACTTATTTTCTGTCTCTGGAACTTGCAAACCATGGGAGGTTCCAGACTTTTCAATAAGGCTGAAGAAACCAGAGAATCAAAACAGGAAAGAAGAAAATTTAGTTAAGATATCTACCAATTGACTTTTTGAAATGTTTGAATTACCTGGGAGAAAACAGATGGATTATCATGGTCCCTGCCCTTAGAGATTGCCCTCAAATGCAGTTGGGTATTGACAAACTCTCCAAGCTGGAACAAAAGACAGGAAAAAAGCTATGTATATGATTTCCCTCAGGGATTAGTGTACAAATACGATTGTCAGCTATGTATTTGAATATGTGCATGTATCTGCCTTTATTCTGATCAGTTACTAGCTGAAGAAATTGAGCAAATTTATTAGTTTTTAGTTTCTTCTCATCTGAGAGACTGGTTAAGTTTTTATGGCTTTTTTGAGCTGAGTTCTTCTGCCTTTATTAATAATCGAAAATGGTAAAATGATATTGTGTTTCCTACAGCAGGTATGAATTTTCACATTATAATCACTGTCATTTCTAAATAAGACATCCCTACAGCTTCTAAATGTCTCATAAAATAATTATTAAGAATTCTAAACTGGGCACAGTGTCCCACATCTATAATCCCAGCTACTTAGGTGATATAGGCAGGAGGATCACAAGTTTGAGGCTAGTTTCAGAAACTTAGGGAGACCCTGTCTCGAAAAACAATGTAGTTCATTGGTAGGGCATCCCTGGGTTCAGTCCCCTATACTCATCCCAGCCCCCTGACAGACACACAGAGAAAGAATTCTGTCTGATGATGAAGATTGTGCTTGTCCTGACAATGGTCAGACCAGCTGAGCCAGGTAGAACTGGTGAGGGAAGGCAGCATGGAGAAGTTGAATAGAAAAGCAGGCTAGGACTTGGTTTGCCAGAAAGCAGATGTATCCCAGGGTGTCCATGAAAGTCAAAGATAGGAGGGAAGAGGTCCTGGTAGAGGAGAAGGGGATGTCTCCCTTCTGGTCCACAGAAGGGCTTCTGACAGCCATTCCAAGTGGTTTTCCCAAGCCATAAAACCAGAATGCTGACACACAGTGTCCTGCCAAGTGCCTGTTTTTGAAACCATACCTTGAAAGAATGGACTTGAGGAGCTCTCAGATTCTTTTTATAACATTTTTAAATTTGTTCTCTTTATATACACATGACAATAGAGTGTATTTTGACATATTATATATACATGGAATATAAGTTCCCATTCTTGCTGTACATGATGTGGAGTAACACTGGTCACTTGTTCATATATGAACATAGGAAAGTAATGTTTGATTCATTCTACTGTCTCTCCTATTCCCATCTCCCCTCCTTTCCTTCATTCCCCTTTGTGTAATCCACTGAACTTCTATTCTTACCTTCCCTGCCCCTTATTGTGTGTTAGCATCTGCATATCAGAGAGAATATTTGGCCTTTTGTTTTTTGGGACTGGCTTATTTCACTTATCATGATAGTCTCCAGTTCCATCCATTTTCTAGCAAATACCATAATTTCATTTCTCTTTATGACTGAGTAATATTCCATTGTGTATATGGACCACATTTTCTGTATCCATTCATCTGTTGAAGGGCACTTAGGTGGGTTCCATAGCTTATTGTGAATTGAGGGGCAGCTCTCAAATTCTTTTTTTAATTATATATATATATATATATTAGTTGCTTGACAATACCTTTATATTATTTATTTATTTTTATGTGGTGCTGAGGATTGAACCCAGCACCTTGCACATGCTAGGCGAGCACTGTACCGTTGAGTCTGAGTCACAACCCCAGCACCAGCTCTCACATTCCCGATGGAATCTATTGGTAAAAACATTCTTTTTTTTTTTTTGTATCGGGGATTGAACTCAGGGACACTCAAACACTGTACCACATCCCCAGCCCTATTTTGTATTTTATTTAGAGACAGAGTCTCACTGAGTTGCTTAGTGCTTCGCTTTTGCTGAGGCTGGCTTTGAACTTGTGATCCTCCTGTCTCAGCCTCCCGAGCCACTGGGATTACAGGTGTGCTCCACCATACCTAACTAGAAATAGTCTTTAGGAGTTTTTGATTACTTCTGTTTTTCTTAGCACTCTTGCCCTTTTTTTCACATACTCTTCTTCCGTTTATTCCCACCTGAGTGAGACTCATTCACAGTCTTGACCTCTGATCTTAGTTCTATGACGTTCCTTTGCTTCTGTGTGGAAACTCAGCAAAAACCCCAGCAAAAACAGCTTTTCTTAGGCTAGTGCTTTTAAGAAGGACACAAAGATACCCAGTGAATAAGAAAATATGGTAACTAATGCTTAGAACTGTAGGCAAACTGAGTGCTTTTTAGAATAAAGAAGAAGTATTCTGGTAATCAAGACAGGATTGGATAAGATGACCTTCCAGGCCCCTTAAACTGTGAGAGTGCAGGACTCATTCGAACCATAGGAACTGTCTACCTATGGAACAGAACACCTCTGAGGTTGGACCTCATTCTGGGAAGCGACTTAGTAGAGCCTGCATGGCCATAGTTAATATAGACGGAGGTGGCTACACTGGGTGGGAGGCTGGGTCAGGGGTTCTCTGTGTACTCTGAGTCCAAGTCAGAAGCTCTGGAATTACTCTGGCCTTAAAGTAACATGGATTTATTCCATTCAGTCCTGGAACTTATCAATATAAGCACAAGGTAGTGTGGTGACTATCTTCCAGGGGCCAGCTGATCCCATTCTGCAAACTTCTGTTGAAGTGACAGACAAGGAAGGCCATGTTTCTGGCTTTGCTGAACTCCACATTCTTAGGCTGAGATCCTAAGCAGATGGGGTTGTCATGGAGGTGCCCGCTGTAGTTAGACATCCTGCCTCTAGGGGTGCTAGTCTGGCTCAGTGCCTCTGCAGAACAGGTGAATTTGCACAGGAAGGACTTGAGTCGTGGCTCTTCTCCCCTGTAGCCCTTGTGCCCCAAGGAGCTCTGGCACTTTGTACACCAGTGCTATGGGAATGAGCTGGGCCTGACCAGTGACGACGAGGACTACGTTCCCCCTGACGATGACTTCAACACGATGGGGTAAGTGAAGCCGAGGGTCGGCTGCACAGGGAACCTGGGGATACAAAAGCAGAGAAGGCCTCAGCGCATGTACATCTGAGTCAGGCCCTGAAGGCAGTCGGGGCGGGAACAGCCAGCAGGTCTGTTGCTGCAGAACCAATAAGTTGGCGACGAAGTCAGGAAGGTTGAAGAGGCAGAAAATGATGGACTTTGGGCCATTGTGATGATTGGCTTTTATTCAGTGGGATGGGAAGATTGGGAATAGATCATCGATAAGTTCTGACTTACCATTCTAAGAGGATCACTCTGGCCTCTGTGTTAAATACACTGAAGGGAAACAAACAGAAGTGGAAAAACCTGTGGAGAGGCTGTTGAATAATTTAGATTATTTGGATGAGAGATGGTGGTTGAGACCAGGAAGGTAGCAGCAGAAACAGTGGCAAATAGTTCCTGAATATATTTTGAAGGATTTATTGATGGATCAGAAAGGAACCAAAGATGGCTTTAGGGTGTTTTGGTTTTATCATTTGGGAGGATGGAGTTGTTCCCAAACTGAGATGAACAATACTGTAGGCAGAACAATTTTGGAGGGAAGACTAAAGGTTGGTTTTAGGCAAGTTGAGACTGAGATGCCTGTTAGCCCGGTGTAGAGATCAAGTAGTCATTTGGAATGAGTGTGGAATTCACTGGAAAGTCTGGAAACTCAGGAGTTACTAGTTTTTAACCATGAAGTTGGGTGAAACCTTCATGTAATCAAATAAACCAAAAAGTGGAAGTTCAAGGGCTGGGCTTGGGAACACTCAGTGAGAAGAAGCAGAACAAGAGATCTTAAAAGAAATTCCAGTGAGATAAGAGTGATGCTACAAGAGTTTCGAATCATGGAAGCCGAGGAAGGGTGTTAAGAAGAGTATCGAAGTATCATGTGCTATTGGTAGGTTAAGAAAGGTGGGGCCTGCAAGTTGACTGAGACAAAGTATGCTTGAAGTTGGAAAGGTAGGTGGAGACTGGGTGGTTGTGTGAGCAGCTGGAGGAATGGAAAGAGTATTGAGTGTGTGGTACTTAGACCTGGGCTTGGTTATAAATGCTGGCATTTTATAGAGGTATCACATAAACTCAGGGGATGCCTATTTGATTATTTCTAAAATGCACATGGTTATTTACTCAGAGTTGTTATGCAACCAAATGACAGTAAAGAGTCAGATGTTAATGCCAATGAGGATTGTTTCTTTGGGGGAAGTTTGCTGTGGTACTCCTAAAATGTCTGTAGAAGGGCACCCACTTCATCTTTAGGAGATTTTCCTCTTAGTTGTACAAGGCAGAGTTTATTAGTTATTATTCAGAATTTGTGCAGCACCCTAAAGGAATACTTGAATCCAGAGTTCTATCTTAGGCAACATATGGGAAATAAAATCTGCTCAGAACCCAGATATTAAGTTCAAATGATCAGGATGGGATGGAATCCGATGAGCAAAACATAGGGTAAGATGAATAATGGTGGTTGTTGGGTAGGGATAATATAAAGAAGATGCCTAGGAAAGTTGAGCTTGGAGCCAAAAATTTTGCATAGGATATAGGGAAAGAAGGAATGAGATGGGAAGAAGGTCTCAGGGGAGCAATGAAGGGGGAAGATTTTTGGTTAAAGAAAGATCATATACTAATCAAAGACTCAGGAAAGCCCATAGTTTTAGATAAATAGGCAGGTCTGAGGATCTTAGAGTAGTTGTCACTCTTGACACTGAAACTGACACCATCTTGCTGGTTGCCTCCTTCAGCTACTGTGAGGAGATCCCTGTAGAAGAGAATGAAGTGAATGACAGCTCTTCCAAAAGCAGCATCGAGACCAAGCCAGACGCCAGCCCACAGCTGCCCAAGAAATCCATCACCAACAGCACCCTGACATCCACTGGAAGCAGCGAAGCCCCCGTATCGGTATGGATAGTGAACACTGACACCCCCGACCTGATCCTGTGGCCAGTGTCTCCTAGCCGAGTTACCTCCATCAGAGCCCAACCTGGGGAGTGGGTGGAGGGAGGTATGGTACATTGCAGTTAGTTTACTTGAGGAAGTGTGCTGGAGTGCATGGGTTCTCTATGCTCTTTTAGTATAGTCTCAGGGTCCACAACTGGATTCAAGGTGCCTGGTTTACACAATTTGATTTGACTTCTAAGATTGGAAGTCTCCACTGTGTGAACTTGGCTCTTGGTGGGCTGCTCCAGGTCTTCCCCCCTGGTGGAGAATTATTCTAGGTCTTTCATGTATTATGTGTGTACATATTTAATTCATTGGCTTGATCTGAAATCAAAGTTGTTCATGAATATAGAGCTGGAGAAGAGTTGATTGCTTATATTATCCATTAGATTAATATTTATTGAGTTCTTCTATGGTTTATTTCCCCATTGTGCTAGATTTTTATTGAGGTTATAAAGATGTTTAAGAAGATCTCTCTCCTTGGGGCATTGATAGAAAATAGAATGTTAATGAAGGAAGAAGGTTGGGGCATGTGCTAGCAGGTGGAAGAAGGCGTGGAATTCCTCAGGAAAGCACTCCTGGAGAAGGAAGGCTGATAGTCCAGTGGGTTGGGGATCAGGCCGGCTGGTCTTAGAAGGAAAACATCCTTCATTTGATGCCTACTCTGCATTTTCTGCCTCTCAGCTTGTCTTTAAAATGTGAAAATTTTTATTGATTCCCTTCTAGTGCTAATGAGAGAATGACTTTTAAAAAAGGGCTGTGGAAACTTCTGAGGTTAGAAAATGAAAGCATACTCCCTACAGGCAGGCTGACATTGTCATAGCATGGTGGAGGTGTGGCTCCAGGAAGGACCTGGAACTGCAGGCACCACCTCTGCTGACCTGTTGGTCAGTGTGCTGTGTGAATAGCGGGCCTGAGAATGGCAGCTCCATGTGCTGGATTCACTCATCTCCTGCAGCAGAGCTGAGCAAAGGCCCAGAATATGACTCCAACCTAGCTTCTGAGCAGCTGTGCTGGGAGTGCAAGGGCTTCCAAAGCCATGTCTCCAGTCTCCCTTGGGAGAGTAGATCCAAGCAGGTTGTCCCTGGTGTGTGTCTCCACTGCAGTTTGATGGCCTGCCCCTGGAGGAGGAGGTGTTGGAGGGCGATGGGACTCTGGAGAAAGAGCTTGCTATTGACAACATCATCGGGGAAAAGATTGAGATCATCGCGCCAGTGAACTCCCCTTCATTGGACTTCAATGACAATGAGGACATCCCCACCGAGCTTAGTGACTCTTCAGACACTCATGATGAAGGTGGGCATTTGAACATAAGTTCAGAGTGGACCTTTGAAGGCTTGAAGGAAGTCTCTATGTGAGGACTAGAGTTACCCTTCTGGACTAGAGGGAAAGGCATTGCTGAGTCAGTGGACTTTGGAGACTCCCCTTCTCTCTGATGACTCTATTTTTTGTTTGTTTGTTTACAGATATATATTTTTAAAAAAATTTCAATCTGTTCTTTTTAGATACACATGACAGAAGTGTATTTTGACATATCACACATAACTTCCCATTCTTGTGATTGTACATGATATAAACTCCATATGAACTTAGGAAAGTTATACTATATTCATTCTACTGCCTTTCCTATTCCCTTCCCCTCTCCCTTTTCCCTTCCCCTCTCCCTTTTCTTTATTCCCCTCTGTCTAATCCAGTGAACTTCTGTTCTTCCCTCCACACCCCTCATTGGGTGTTTGCATCCACATATCAGAGAGAACATTCGGCCTTTGGTATTTGGGGATTGGCTTATTGCACTTAGCAAGATAGTCTCTAATTGCTCTAAGTAAATGCTTTTTTCTTTGCTCCCACATAGACTTAGCTCCCAGGACCTAATATGGGAACATGCTCCTTCTTATATTCCATGGGGAGAATAGTAGTATTCCAGTAGTCATTAATAATGTTAGTTGATGGTTCTCTTCCACTGAATTGGTAGTAGTATATTTCTACTGAGTAGACAAGAGTACCCTTGTTCATCTGTAGACAGTCTCTCCTAGAGGGCCCCTGCAATGGCTTTCTAACCTTTGACTGGTTTACCTACCCAGACCTAGGCTCCAGGGCTAGGACAGATGCCTGCACAGGTTGGGTACCACCTAATACCAGAGGTGCCATTCACAACATTCTCCCCCCTGTGCCAATATAATGCCTGATTTGTATATTCCTAGGCACTATCCCTATATGATTTTGCTGCTGTGACTAAAGGATTTGACCAGAACAACTATAGAGTTGTTTAAAGTAAAATAAATAAAGTTTATTTGAGGGCTCACAGTTTCAGAGGTCTTAGTCCATAGAAGGCTGGCTTCATTCCTTGGGGTTTGAGGTGAGGCTGAACATCATGATGGGAGAGGGTGGCAGAGGGAAGCAGGTCACATCACGGTGAACAAGAAGCAGAGAGAGACTCCACTCTCCATATAAAAAATACATACCCCGTAGCCACGCTCCAAATTAACCAGTTCCTCAAGTTGCACCCCACCTGCCTCCAGCTACCACCCAGTTAATCCCTTCAGGGATCAATTCACTGATTATGTTAAGACTCATAATCCAATCATTCCTCATCTGAACCTTCTTTCATTGTCTCACACATGAAATTTTGGGGTACACCTCACATCCAAACCATAACACTGTCCTTCTCTGGATCCCAGGCTGCCCGAAATGTCAGCCTCCTACCTGTCAGCCCATGCAGGTGCAGACATTAGGGACTGTGGGGTGCTGGAAACTTGGGAGGAGCATGTAGACTTAGTGGCTCACCTGTACCCTCAGGCACCTTCTTCTGTAACAATAAAAATTCAGAACATTACAGGTGAGATTCTCTGGGTCGCAGAGGAATATGCTCTGCAGGTTGTCTGTCATAGATTACATTCCAGGTGGGTACAGCATCCCTGAGAACTGAGGAAGCATCACTTTGGGAACCCTTCTTTACTTTGCTCTGTGTGTCTGTCCCTTTGACTCATTCTGATCTATATATCATATATATGTGTGTGTGTGTGTGTATATATATATATATATATGTGTGTGTGTGTGTGTATATATATATATATATTGTTGTTGTTGTTGTTATAATAAATCTATGATGATTTTTTTAAAAGAGGACGTATTGACATCATGGGGGACATAAGCTGCCTATGTATTTAGAAGTCATAGCCCACCAGGCCAACCCAGGCCTTGGATGCTTTTCTATAAACAGATATTTTTAGTAACCACCCGTGCTAGTGGTTACTCTGTCATTTGTTGTCAATTGTGCCTAACTTAGTAGACTCTGAGTAACCCATCCTTTAGAATTCAGATACCCTCAGGAAATAGTCAATTGTTTGAATTTTAGTCTAAGATCCACTTGCTTTGGGAGATTTGAAAACGTAGAACCATATACAACCATGTTGCCCCATAGTAACACTGGCTACATATATAAAGGCCTTCTCAGAGTAAAGTGCACAGAGGTGTTGGAGCATCCTAATTTGTGTACATAAACTATAATGTTTGTACAAAGACCAAATCATCGAATGGCTCATTTCTCAGACCATTTCCTATAGTCAAGTGACCTGTGACTATAGTACATTCCCAAACTCTTTGCAAAGGATGAATGGAAAGTGTGTCAATTAAAGTAAAGAGTGTGCGTCTCAGCTTGACAGAAGCAAAGTCATAAACAGAGGCCATGGGCTCAGCCTACCTGACCCTTGGTGGCAGTGTGTGCATTAGCCACAGAGACATTAGTGCTCTGGGAATGTCCCTCGGGCCCCCTCCCTTCTCTCATCCCCCTCTAATCCCTGGTAATCTTTTATGTGCAGGGGAGGTCCAGGCCTTCTATGAAGACCTGAGTGGCCGGCAGTACGTGAATGAGGTTTTCAACTTCAGTGTGGACAAGCTGTATGACCTTCTCTTCACCAACTCGCCCTTCCTGAGGGATTTTATGGAGCAGCGGAGATTCTCTGGTCTGATTTGCAGGGCTGGCCCCTCCCTGGCTATTCACCCTCCCTCCCTCTGCATTCTCTCGCTTCTCCTTCCTCTTTTCCCTCTCTTCCTATGCAACCCACCTTTCCAGGGTACCTTCTGGCCCAGACCCCCTCTCTCTGGCCTTACATGTTGCTGGAGCTCCCTCAGGGCCCTGTTTTCCTCTGTTCCCTCAGTGCTGTGTTTTTACATATGCCCTTGTCCTTCAAGTATCAAGAACTTGCCAGTGACCAAGACTTATTACACGTCTTGGTCTCTGCTTTCTGCCTTCATGGGGCTCACTGTCTAGTCAAGGGCAGCAGTGCTCCCTCACCAGAAGCCACCCTCTCTTTGCCAGGCACCTTGCATTATCTCATTCAGCCCTCATACCTGCCTTGTGTACAAAGTATTAGGTTCCCCCCACATGATGACCTTTCAGGACACTAAAACCCATGCTGTTATTATTCTCCTACCTAATGTAATTACAAGGGGCAGAGCCAGGATTCATATCTAGGACTCTGGGGTTCATGCTTTGACCCTCCCTGTTCCTCTCTCATTCTCTCCCCACATTTCTTCCCACATCAGGGACATAGCACCGACCTAGCAGGACTGCTAAGCCTCTTGCTCTGAGAAAAAGCATTGGGGGTAACTGTGAGCCCCTCTGCCAGGAGGGAACATGCTGAGAACACGGGAGGTCAAACCCTAGAGGCAAGGACTTGTTCCCAAGGGATCCCAGGCCCTTGCCACAGTAACTCCAGTGTTGCTAGCACCCCCGCAGGTGGCCCCAAGACCTCCTGCCCCAGCCTAGGGAACAATCAGCATTCTGGAGCCCTGTGTAGAATTTCGGCAATGCTACAATGAGCCTCTTTTTGCTCTGACTCCCCCTCCTCCTGCCCTCCCTCCAGGCCCTCAGGCTCCCATTGGCTTCCTTTGGGGGGCCTGTCTAGTCAGCACAGAAGGAGGAGTTCAATGGGGAGATTCGGGTGTGGGGAGCAGTGCTACTTTCCCTCCCTCACTTCAGGGCCCTTCTCCACCCTCAGATATCATCTTCCATCCATGGAAAAAGGAAGAGAATGGAAACCAGAGCCGAGTGATTCTTTATACCATCACCCTTACCAATCCCCTAGCTCCCAAAACTGCCACTGTCAGGGAGACACAGGTGAGCAGGAAGAAGGCAGAGGCAAAGGAGAATGGGCTGGGAAGTCCTGCTCTGGTGTGAAGGGTGAGGGCTGGTGTACGGGGGACGGCTCTGGGTGCAGGTGTGCTTTAACACCCATCTGGATGGCAGCACCTTGCCAGCTCTGAGGCCACCCTTTCCCACGGTTCTGCATCTTCTGTTGCAGGGTGTGGGTGGGGTGGGGAGGTGGGAGAAACCACTCCTCCTCTTGCTTCTTTCCAGTGTTGGCCAGTGAACTTTTTCTCCCCACAGACCATGTACAAGGCAAGCCAGGAGAGCGAATGTTACGTGGTAGACGCGGAAGTCCTCACCCACGACGTGCCCTACCACGACTACTTCTACACCATCAATCGCTACACGCTCACTCGCGTAGCCCGGAACAAGAGTCGACTCAGGTGGGTGTGTGGGGCCCAGAGGGTTCAGATGGGTTCTTTATGTCACACAACGTTCATTAGCTCCCTAGGGAGAAGGAGGATCCTTCTGGGTCTTGATTCTACCTGCTGGCTCTTGATTATTCTGTCTTCTCTCTGAAGCCTTCTGTGACTTCCCATCTCCCCGTCCTGACAGTTCCTTATTCTCTCCACCATGTATCCCTTCATCACTCGTACATCTCTGTAATGAGACCTTTATCACCACCACTGTTTATTGATTGTCTGTGCTTTACATGTTACTATGTGGGAACCTTAACTACATTCATTAGAATCTTTAGAATGGCCCAAGGAGGCAGATTTATTCTCACATTCAGATATATAACTTTGCCAAGAATCGTGTTCCCAGTTAACACTGAAACTCAGCTCGTAGAAACAAAAGCCTGGGTTCTTTCCCATGTCACAATTTCCTGTTTGCCTCCCCTGCTGGACTTTTAGCTCCACAAGAACAGGAGTTCCAGCACCCCCCCACCTCCCTACCCCCAACCTGGTTCCCGGCTTGTAACACTGGGCATGCTCATGAGAGTCCAGGAAGTGTTGTTTGAATGAGTTCTGGGCACTCAGAGAAAGAAATTTAGACCCTGAAATCATAAGAAGTGTGTTGTCTAATTGAAAAGTCACCTGTATCATAGACCAAATTCTTTTGATTTTTAAGGAGCAAGAAACTCATTGATGTAGTTCAAATAAAATGGGAGTTTAGTAACAGGTTCTGCAAAGATCTCTTGGGAGTTAGAAAAAGCTCAACATCTGAACCTCAGGAACACCCTGCATCTTTCGTAACCTCTTAGGTGTTGCTTTTATTTTGGAGTGCCGTGGAGAGGAGCATTTGTGCTGCTTGCCTAACCTAAGCCTTTCTTCTCTTTTCCTTTTCTCTCACCTCTCTCCTGTTTCTCCTGTCCTTTGTCCACCCACCCCCACCAAGAGTCTAGGTTTCTTAGTTCTACTTTCCTCAGATCTTTCAAATGCATGTCCCATCTATGCACTCCACAGAGAGCTAGCTTTGACCTTTGTAGGAAAGTGCTCATACTTCATCTAGTGACTAGGTCTTGAGCATCAGGCTGATGTGGAGGCAGCATCCCTGAGGGGATAAGCAGAGCAGGTAGTCTTAAACATGGGGTATACGAGCTGGGAGAATCTGTTGACAGAGGCTCGTGCCCACGGAGAACGAAAGGAGCAAGACTGTGTATAGTAAGGAAAGAGCTCAGTATTCCAGAGGTAGGGGCAGTAGCATGACCAGTGACTGGGGAAGGGACTACCTGAGAAGAGCAAGAGCTGGTGAGGTCTTGGGTGCAATGGAGAAGCAGGAACTGGGGCCAGGAGCGGAAGACACTCTTACAGGTGGAAGTAATGAGACCCCAGAGCCTGACTTGTATTTGAAGGACTCAGCTTCAGCTCTGAACCTTCCCTTGGCTAGCTGGCAGCCTGCTTGGCACCCATCTGGAGCCCCCTGGATGGAAGCCATGTGGCAAAATGAAAGAATTCTGGGTTTGGAGTCTGAAGCCCTTGTTGTTAGCCTTTGACCTGCTTAAATATTCTAAATTTCAATTTTCTCAACTATAAAATGAGAATAAATCCCAATGACCTCAGAGGATAGCCAAGGAGATGAGATACGATGGAGGTGAAAGGACTTTTGAATATGTAAAATGCAATACAAACATGAAACTGCCTTTGCCTTAAACATGAACTTACCTTTCCCGGCAGAGGAGGGTCCACCTAGGAAATGACTTGTCTTGTTTTTGGCTTGTCCCTCAGGGTCTCTACAGAGCTGCGATACCGAAAACAGCCCTGGGGGTTAGTAAAAACCTTTATTGAGAAGAACTTCTGGAGTGGGCTGGAGGACTACTTCCGCCATTTAGGTGGGTACTACCCTCATTGTTGCTGGTTGAACTGCAGGACCTGGGTGACCTGTATGGTTGTCACCATTCAGGGGAATGAGAAACTGAGATAACAGAGTAGTTTTGTGTGATCTTTATATTTGCCCCCCAAAATGGATACCAAATTTGGCATGTAAGTGAAATGTGTGCATTTTTTCAAGAGACTAGTCTATCATTTTATGAGATCATTAAGGCAGCTATAATATCCCCCTGACATGAACCCCTAATCTAGTGATACTGGTAGTAATTGTGTTATAAGAAGGATCTGAAAATTGCCTATGGATGCATCTATTTAGAAGGTGTGTAATATGCCCCAAATTACACACATGTGGATGTAGACATTGGGACATGGCTCTATTGAACAATCCAGAAGAGGGGTTTGGGCAGGGTTAGGATCCAGAAATGCCTCCCACTGGTATCCATGAGGATCACTGTACCCACCTGGCCAACTTTGGAGGGTAATATAGGAAAAATGTTTCCTGTACTCCTTCTGGAGGCAGGTATGTGAAGGTGGCCTCTGATGTGGCCCTGTTGTCTGTGCTAGAGAGTGAGTTAACCAAAACGGAGAGTACCTACCTGGCTGAGATGCACAGACAGTCTCCCAAGGAGAAGGCCAGCAAGCCCCAGACCGTGCGGAGGAGAAAGCGTCCCCATGCCCACCTGCGGGTACCTCACCTGGAAGAGGTAATGAGCCCCGTCACCACACCCACCGATGAAGATGTGGGCCACAGGATCAAGCACGTGGCAGGTGTGTTCCAGTTGGGGACAGTGGTGTGGGTTGGGTTTTGGGCAGGAGCTACATGCCCCTGCCAGGGCACAAATGTGAACACTCCTTTTGCACCTTGGGTGTAATTTGTATATGATTCATGTGTAACTCACTAAATCTGAGGCTCCTCATGCTCCATCTACTTCTCCTTGCCGGTTAAGTTCCTCAGCTTCACTGAACCCTTACATGTACTCTGCTTAACAAAAGTTGCCTTTGGGCTTATGACACCTAAGCTCTATGGCTATCTGTGTAGGCTCATGTATGCAGCCTCCACATTCTCGGGAAATACACTAAGAAGCTGAAACCCAGATCCTAGAGATGAATTCATTATTACGAAGGTCAAGGAGTCCAAAATAGTCAAGGGTCTGCCCACGAAGGCTCTGTACTCCCCCGGTAGCTCCTCCTCTTCCCATCCAGCCTTTCACAGCCTCATGTCTTTACTCAGTCATGGAAACATGGGGTGATAAGGGGCCTAGAGAGTGATGAATGCCATATTTCATAAACCGTGCTCCACATGTACCTGTGAGTTCATCAGCGCTACATGGGGACAGGGAAGGAGGCGGACGAAGAGAGGAGAGTGCCAGTCTTCCATGTCCCTTAGTCTCGCCCAGAGTACTCCCATGGGTATATGTTTTACACAGGAAATTTCAACTACTGTTGCATTTTAATAAACTGATTCTCAGGTCGCCTGACTTGCCCAGCATTGTGTTATCCAGGAATTTAGGGCTGGAAGCAGCTGCATCTAGTCCTTTCCCAGAGCTGTTTCCTCTTCCTTAGGCCAAGACCACTGTCCTACATCATTATATCTTAGCCACACAGATCTACTGATTTTCTCATTTGCTTAGTGGTTACCTGAACCAACCCCTGACCTTGCCCTTGAGGGGCTTATCTCCTGTTGCAGGGCTGGGCATAGCCACCATACCCATCAGCAGCACCATGGACCCCTCCCTGATGTTTCTTGCCTGACCATTATGTCAGCAGTTAGTAAACTTGTGGGCCATGACAATGGCAGCATATTTATTCTCCCACAGGTTCCACGCAGACACGACATATCCCCGAAGACACTCCCAACGGTTTCCACCTGCAGAGTGTGTCTAAGCTGCTGCTGGTTATCAGCTGTGTGTAAGGAACTCTTGGCTGTCCTCCCATCCCTGCCCCAATGCCTTCCCTTTCCTGACTGGTGCAGGAAAATCATCTCCCATCTCTCAAAGCATTTATTTAGTACCTTTTCCCCTGTTTTTTCTCTTTTCTTTATTTCTCTCTTACTTTTTTTTTTTTTTTTAATCCTCCATTGTTCTCTGCCTGGATCAGTTACTTAGTCTGTCATTTCTCACCTCTTTGCTTCTTTTTTCTCTATTTTACTCAGCACTAATGCTGGTCTTCTAGGGGAAAAAAATGCTGTATGTAGCATCCATGCCCTTGAGGAACTCAGTGAGTGAAAGAGATAGGGCATTTGGACTTCTGCACAATAGGATAACTGCTAACATAGCTGCTAACATAGAGAGACTACAGAACACTTTAGGCATCCAGTCATTTGCAAGAGATGTTCTGACTGCCTGCTCTGTACCAAGCATTAGAACCATGTATTCATGAAGCCCATGCTTTGGTGGGGCAGCCAGAAGAAATCAGTGACTACAGCACAGGAAAAGTAGATGCTTATTTTAATATACATGGTTTATAATTGCTATGACATTATGAAACCAAAGGTTCAAGAACTTGCATAGAAAGTTACTGAGTTAGGTAGGTGGGAAGTTGAAACAAGTGAAGACATAAGATAGGAGATCACAACTAACGATCTGATGGGCAAGTGTATGCCATCACTTGCCCAGGATTTTTTAAACCATTTCAAGCAGGAAGCAGCTAGGACAGCTAAAGAGAGCTCTTCTGCTTGCCATTGCCTGGCATCCTACCCCTTCCTTGTGGGGGTGAGCTATATAAGAGAGTGTAGGTGCCATGGGGGTGGGTGGGAAACATGACAGCTACCCAGACGTGGGCTCTATTGAGCCCTGGGCACCTGACCATCTCAAGTTTAATTTTGCTTCTATAACTTCCCCAGCCATTCCTGAAATAGGAAGGTAGAGCAATTTGGACAGTGTTATCTTCAAGGAAAATCTAGAGGAAACCCACAAGAAACATGGTCAAATTTATATTATAGCAATATGGCCAATGGATTAGAGAAGAAAAGATTGGAGGCAGGCAGGTCCACTGAGTAAATCACAGTGGTATAACTGAGAGAGTCTGTCAGACTGAGGTGAGGGACTAGATCTGAGAGGTTCCAGAAGGGAAAGACTCATTAACCATTTGGTTATATTTTTGATATGCTCCTGATTCAAGGAAATCTAATTGGTTGTATCATTAACAAAAATGTGGAATTAGTGGAAAATTGTCAGAAAAGACACTTTGGGGCTCTACGTATGTCGAAATACTTCAGGTTATCCAGGTGGAGGTGGCAGGTACCTGTTGATATGGACCTGCCACTTATGAGACAACTGTAGGCTGCAGCCACAGATTAATTTTCCCTGGCATTAAAGCCATGGGTGCAAATGACACCATTCATGCAATGTATGGTATGTTATGGAGGCAGGGCCAAGGATGACCCTCGGGACTCCTGACAGGAGAAAACCCCTTGAGGAGCATGAGGAACCTTCTTAGTAACCTTTCTTGAATGAATAACATAAAAGTAGTCTTTTGACTCTAAGAAACCAAGACATCATTGCAAAATTAAGTTCAAAGACAACTGTAACCAGTGAGATTCACGTTTAGCAACACTAATTTAATGTGATTCTGGCATTTTTCATTTAAAACTGTATGTCTGGTATTGGATTTTATTAAATGGAAAACCACAACATCTAGTCCTGGAGTTAAGCTGTCTCTGCATTTTGACTTGACTTCATCAGATAGCGTGATATTAACTAGCTTCTGGGCTTTGTTTGTTTAGGATAATAATCAGACTTCTAATTGAACATAATACGAACCAGGCTTAGGGTCTGGTGAGAGCCAGCCAGAATGTGAAACAGACTGGCATGGCACCAATTGTCCCTGTGTCTGGCAGACTCCTGCCACCATCCACCTGCCATGCAGTGACTCAGCCTCCCACCTCTTTTCTCTGTTTAGACCACTGCAGAACCTCCAGCTAGACAGCACATGGGGGTGTCCCTTGACCTTTACTTTGCACAGTCAGAATTATAAACAGTAACCCACACGCAGGCAGGAAGATCATGTGCGGCACTTGAAGAGGTGGGCGGTCAGATGATCCAGTGTGTGCTAATATATGGACAGACTGGATTACTGAAATGCAGCACGGAATTTAAAAGCTCTCATGTAGAACTCAGAATACCTCCAGGGATTTGCAGCAACCACTAGAAGGAAGACAGAGTTCCATAAGGCCAGAAACACCAGTGAGAAATACAGATTTCCCCTCAGGTACACATGGAAAAGCCTAGCTAGCCTGAGCATTTCTTTCTCCTTTGCCGTTCTTTTTTTTGCCTGTTTGTTTTACCTTTCCTTTTTTATCCTCTTCTCTCTTCCTATGTGTATCTATACCTCCTCCTTTCATGATAAGAGCCACCCCTTGTGATGGGCTTACTGTATGCCAGTGTTTTTGACATACATTTCACTCATGGATCAGCCCCAGTGGGGTAGGTATTATTGTCCTGATTGAGAAAACTGGGTTTCAGAGAAGCTAAGAAGTTTGATTAAAAGTTAAGAAATAATGGGTTGAGCCAGGATTTGTCCCCAGTGTTCGATATCTATGGGTCCTCTCTTTACCTGTCTTTCTCCATCCTATGAGCTTCTGTCACAAAATGACCTTCAGGCAGCCATGGAGGCCAAGAGAAGACAATTTACACAGTGTCCCTGTAACTCTCCATTCTCCACGGGGCCCTCCATCCCCTAGTTATCCTCACTCCTCCCTGTCTCTGGCCCAGACTCTGGGAGGCCTCAACTGGTCCCTTCTGGAGCATGGCAGGTGTGGGGAGGGAACATGGCAGCCTCAGGGAAGTTCGGTCAGCACCTGTAAGGCATATCTGGGAAGAGCTAGAGATCCCATTGAAATTCTTCCTTCAGTTCCACCCTTCATTTGTGTCCTAACATTGGGTCCATGGGGAGAATCTTTTCTTAATTCAGCACCTGCAAAATACCAAGGGTCACCGTGCTGTGCTCTCTTGCTCTTTCCTTGCTGGGTCTCCTCATCTGTCATGTCTTTGCTGCTCGTATTTCCTTCTCACATAGGCTTACTTGCTGTCTGGCTCAGTTCAGGTGCAGTTTCCTCCTTCCCCACACTCCTGTTTCTAACCTCTGCCTCCTCCCCATTTTTCTTCCTTGCTCCCATTAGGATCTGTTTCAGGTACTGGCTCTATGATTACTCCCTTTACTCCCTCATCTTTTTTCCACTCCACCTTACATCTCTTCCCACAGGCACCCAGATTCCGGGTGTCTATATGTCCTCCCTTCCTGATGCCTTCACACCATACCTCTCTCCATGGCTTCAGTGGTGTGCCCCAACCCCTCCAGATGAGGCTGCTTCTCTCTCTCCCCCAGCACTCACTGCATCCCTCTGGCTCACTCACTCATTTGCTGCAATGCTTTGGATGACCCAGTGGGCAGGCACGGAAGCCTCTGGGATGGGGGAGATCCCTAGCTCCTATTCCGTCTCATTATCATTGCTTGTCTCCCATGTCTCCCTCCTAGTCTGGTGCTGCTGGTCATCCTTAACATGATGCTCTTCTACAAGCTCTGGATGTTGGAATACACCACCCAGACCCTTACTGCCTGGCAGGGTCTAAGGCTCCAAGAAAGGTAATCCTGCCTCCACCCTCTCCTGGCCCCCATCTCTACCCCACCCAGGCTGAGTCCTGCCTCCTGCCTCCCCTGGGACTGACTGCCCCATTGCCCTTGCCCAGGAGATAACCCTTTGGGTTATCCCTATAGTTTTCATCTACTTCCAATTTGGGGCACTGGGGACTCAGAGGCAGGAAGCAGAGGACAAAGCACTCTGATGTGACTCTCTGTCCTTTAGGGGTCTGGGAGCACAGGAGAGTCCGCTGAGCATAACTCCAGCTGCTGGGGCACCCCTTCTTCTACCCCACAGGTTACCCCAGTCTCAGACAGAATGGGCCCAGCTCTTAGAGTCCCAACAAAAGTACCATGATACTGAGCTCCAAAAGTGGAGGGAGATCATCAAATCCTCAGTGATGCTCCTAGACCAGGTGAGATGCCCCGCCTTCTCCGCTTCCCCTAGTTGGCAAGAGATAAAGATCCTTCCTTTTTGCTCTGAGAAACATCACCACCTCTATCACCAGCCTTCCATTGATATTTTCCTCTCCTTCATTCTTTTCCCTGGCCATTCACTATTCTAATGTTAAAGCCCTTCCTGAATAGGCTATTGGAAACAGAGGTACATTCCCCAAAATAACAATTAAAAAAAAAAATACATTGGATTTGTAGCAAGAAGACTTTTTTTTTTTTTTTTTTTTGTAGGTTAGATGGAAGGAGTACTTATTTATTTACTTATTTTGGTAACCTATAGTCATCGAACAGGCATTAAAAAACAAACTCCCCTTTTACAGAGATTCGTCTTCCCAGAGGACATATCTAATTCCTTTTCATCTATACCATCCCTTCTCTGACCCTCAAAGGCCCTGTACCAAGAAGATGACTATTATGTCTTTACTTGACATTTTTTTAGTACAATTGCCTGTTTTCCTCAGAAAACCTAAATCCAACTGTTTTAAGAAAATCATCCTATGGCAGGCAAAAAAAAAAAAAAGAAGAAGAAAAAATCAATAATTAGCTTAGTTTCCTTGGAAGAAGGAGCTTCCTTCTTCCCTCCAGAAAAATTTAAAAATCTTTTAAAAATGCCCCCAGGGCATTGTCAAGACTTCAGGAATTACCTTTGCTATCAAGAGAATTAGGTAGACAATAGACCTAGAATTTATCCTGCTACATTAAAATTTCTATTCCCAAAGAGGTGTCATTCTGATGTTTTGTACTTAGCTAGCCCTGAGCTGGAATCCCTGCTTTGCTCTAATTAGTTTTATGACCTGGAGCAAGAGGTGTTAACATAGCATCAGTTTCCTCATTTATAAAATAGGGATTGTGTCTGTAACTCTGAGAAACTGCCATCAGAATTTGATGGCACCTGGAAGGCACTCACTAACATCAAACCTTACTTCCCCTTCATAGCTTGGTTTTGTGCTGAAATAAGGAGAGATATTCTCAATACAATTAATAAGACCCAAATTTAGCATGTTTATTAGAATACCAGATGTATCTTTGGAGCTATATTTAAGGAGGGCATTTCTGGGGGCAATGTGAGCACACCAGTTTCCAGACATCGGGATCAACAGGCGAAGGGTTAGTTTACATGTAAAACTCCAGAGGTCTGTTACGGCTACAAGTTACAAGGAGTCAAATTTTTGAGTCATCTAATAAAAACAGACTCCTTATGGTTAGAGAAAAGGAGTGGGCTGCTTTGGAGGACTGAGGTTCCAACATTAAAAGTGCTTAAGAATCACAAGATGATGTTGGACAAGGAATGTAAAAATTAAATGGGAGGCAGTTTGGAATGGACACCCCAGGGATCTCTTGCAATTCTAGAATTTTCATTTTTTATATTTTTGGTTCTGAGGATTGAAATCAGGGCCTGGTGCCCGCTAGGCAAGCACACCCTACCACTGAGCTATACTCCCAGTCCTTCCAACTCTAGAATTCTATTTCAAGGTGGTTCCCCTTCACTGGGACTTGGGCTGTCAGATTCATAGCCTCATGGATGCTACGGTGTGATGGGCCCCTTCTGATTTCCCCACTGGCACTGCCCTATCTAGGCTCCATTCCATGCGGCCTGGAGGAGAAAGACGATTGTAAGCCAGAGACAGTCTGGATTTGTTCTGGGCCTTTACAGAAGGCTGAGATTGGAGGAGACAAGGCTGAAAGAACAGTGTGGCAAAATGTATAAAGACAGGAGACAGAATGTTCTGAATCCATATTAAGGAAGTGTTAGTCTAAAGTGGCTCCTTACAGCAGCCAAAAATGCTTAGAGAAGAGTTTCTTATTTCAGTGGTACTGAGGGTCAAAAATCGCCAAGACATGGCAAGATCTACCTAAGGGCTTTACAATGCTGTCATAGTTGTCCCTACCCGAGACTGCGCTCCTGGAAACCATCCTGACTTTAGAGTAGCCCTGTGGCAGGTGCTGCTGTATGGAGAAGCCCACTGAGAGCCCAACCTGGGCCTGGGGTGGGGTTCCCTGTCTTGCAGATGAAGGACTCACTCATCAATCTTCAGAACGGCATCAGGTCCCGGGACTACACATCTGAAAGCGAAGAGAAGAGGAACCGTTATCATTGACAAGGCAGGAACAGGGGTGGCTGCAAGAGGCCTGTGCAATACATGTACATAGACCCTATAAATATATATATATATAAATATATATATATACAGAATATAAATATATATTATATACAGATTTTAAAAAGAGATAATGCCTATGTACCCGGGAGAAGGAGCGGGACCTCCCGCCCCCTGTGCTGGCCGGAGCAGCGTTTTCCCTCAGTGGAGGGGCCGAGGAGGGCAGGGACCACCTCTCAGCACCGACCTCCCCTGATCCTCCTCCTCCCATCCTCTGTTCCTCACCCCTTCCCTTGCTGGCCATTCTTGGCTCTTAGAAGGGAAATGTCACTGAGCCAAAGTTATGCCTGTGAAGACCCTTGGGGTCTTGAAAGAAGTCTCAAGGGGGCATTGCTTAAGGTGCTTCATCCCCCAATCCCCTTTTGATTTGTTTCCAAAATAAACAAGAATCTGTTCTTCCCTACCCTCACGTTTCCCCAGGTGTTCTCTTGGACACAGAAGCATCAAGGGCAGGAGCCCAATGTAAACTCTCCCGTAGGAGGCCATTGATAATGGACCATGCTAGGAGCCAGGTGGAGAGGACTGTGAAAAGCTAGCAAGGCTGCATTTGTGGGATTGTGCTTGGGAGCTGCAGGCTCCTGAGCGCCTGCATTCTGAAGGGTTTTCTCCTCAGTCACCCCTGCACCTTGCTCTGACCTGTGTAGGGTGTGGACCTAATAAGGGCTGGGAATCTGTAATTCTCCCACCCCCTTTCTCTCTGGTCTTCACTCAGGCTGGATCTGGGTGAAGTGTCACTTTTTAGTGCCTAAAGTCCTATTGTTTCTCTGTGCCCTAAGAGCACATTGTTTATTAGCCAGGGTGGAACATTTTTTGACCTTGTTAAACCCCTTTTAGTGGTTAGAGACAAGTCGGGTCTGTGGCTCTAATTCTTTCACTTTGAGCTGTGAGTTTGATTTTTCTGGATGAAACAGGGTGTCCTAGGCCCTCGAGGGTTTGAGAGAGAGATCACCCTAGCAACCTATGGATTGCAGGGTCTGCCCTAGAATACTGTGTGAGTAGGGAGCACCAGTAGCCAAGCCACTCAGTGAGTTATGAACATCATTTACTCTTGGTAAAAACAAGCCTTAATCAGTTGAGATGACTAAGACACTGTGTGTGGTAGAACATCTAGGCCATGAGAGAGAAGGATTTGGCAAGGGTGCATTTGCTTGGGCAAGAAATAGCTAGGCGTATCTCGTCACTGCAATCCTGAGATTCTTGGGTTTGGGAGTGGGATTTCTGGTGGGTTTGGGTGCAAATCCTTCCCGGGTTCCTGGCCCCAGAGAGGTAACGAGGTCACTATGGAGTAGAAAGAAGATGGTAGTTAAGGAGCATGAGCTAGCTAGCACCTTTTCAGAGTTGACCCACGAGGGCCCATGCTTTCCTCTGGACTCATGGGCCCTTTCTGGGCACGTTCCTCATCCTTCATACACTCACTTCTGTTTCTCCTTATGATGACCAGGGGAGTCCTGCCAGTCCTGGGCACAGCTCATGGAAAACTGGTCATTTAAGAACAATAGCCAGTTTGGCCAGAAGAGCTTCCAAGCTTGTTCCATCTCTTGTTCCAAAATTACAGATTTTCTCTGTAATTTAGCCCAAACAGAAAGTTAAATCCCTTTCTTAGAATGGCCTGAGCATTTCATTTTAGCCATTTAAAGAATAGTTGTTGACCTTTCCATCTGTCTAAGAATAAGGCCTTGGTATTTCCTCAAGAGCAGAATGAGAAAGCCTGAGGATACTTTCCCAGGTCATCCTTTGAAGAAAGAGAATGGAAAGGCTCTGGGTGGTCAGCCAGCATTGATATTCCTCTTCTGGAAAAGTAGAGGTGAGGAAAACCATCAGTGTAAGGATGCATATGCCCAGATGACAGCTGGTTACCCCTCAGTTCTTGTCCAGGACTTTCAGAGAAAGACATTGGTGAGGGTCAGGGCCCTTGAGCCCTGAGCCAATAAATGAGGAATGGTACAGATGGATAGAAATTTTCCCCTTGGGGTAGCCAAAGCCAACATTATTCCCCAAAACTCTGGCAAACAGCAATTGTAAATTCTTAAATTTATTCCATGCATTATTTATATTTAAGTTATTTGACCACTAAAGATGCCATGGACACTTTAAGGTGACTTAAAGGGGGTTCATCGCTGAGAGTAAAATGACCAAAGCGTATTTGACCAGAAAGTTCATTGCTTTTGCTTTAACTCTCAGGATCAATCAGAGGAGGAGCAAGGAAGAGGGAAACAGGCTGTTTGAGGAACCCTCCTTTTTTTCTGGTGATTTGAACCCAGGAAAAAATTGTGCACACCAAGAGAACGTTCCCTAAGAGTCATGGCTCTTTCATGAACTCTTTGTTCTAACATTGTTTTGGCTTTTAAATCAGGGTTGGGGGAAAACTATTCACTCCCCTGCAAAATCTTTTCCTCCTTAGTCAATAACTTGCAAAAGAAAAGTGAATTCACCCTTGCGATAAGTCTCGGAGTGAAACAAATACATAAATACTTGGCATTAATTCCTGGCCAGTAGTGTGGTGAGTAGTTGTCTACAAGGGAGCATCAAAGCCACCACTGATTGTTATTTCCTCCAGTCAGTGATATCTATATCTATAAATATACAGATACAACACAACTATAGATAAAGATTTTTCCTTTTTTTGCCTGTTTCTCTTGACGTGAGAATGCTGGGGTTACACAGAAGTCTTTCTGAGAGGATTTCACTCAATTCTAAAGAGTTGGCAGAGTTTCTCACCTGTTGAAGCACAGCTACAGGGTCTCAACTTCCACTCCAACTTACAGTGGAGGAATTTGCCAGATTGGCCTCAGAGAGGCCAGTCGTGTCTGCAACCTTCTCCCCCTTCCTGTGCTCCTCCCTGGGACAAGGGAACAATATCCAAGACTAGCAGGATCCTCAACTTGACACTCTCAGCAGGAGAACTGGACTTGTTCTGTGTCATTGGGCAAGTCGCCCCCTGCTGCTGAGCTTCAGTACCCTCCTGTAACAGGAGCCGGCAGGGCTAGATTATTCCTAAGGCAGGTTCTAGCTTTGGCTTTGACTTGGAGGTTAGGCCAGGGCCTGGAAAGGTGGGGCTTTTTCAGACTTGGAAGGTAGAGCTTCTCTGGTATATAGTAGTTAGTAGGGTGGTTTGTGGGTTTCCAAGAAACCCAAGGTATTTAAACTTTTTTTTTCTTAGGGGCTAAGAGGGCTAGGGAAACCCAGTGGCAGAGAGAGTATTGCTCAGTATTAACCTACGAGGGAGTTTCTTTATTGGCCTAGTTTTAGTCTGAGAAGGGAACTTTCTTTGAACCCTCTCGAAGCTGGGAGGAGAAGGATAATGGTGAGAAGAGCACCATCTTCAGCTGAGTTCATCTGCCATCTTTGGCATTTTGAAGCCTTTCATCTCTATACCCTTCCTCCTCATGGACAGAGGAGTCAGTGGAGAAAAGCCATTTCCTGTTCCAACTTTTCTCTTTGGCACAAACAAATCCATGTTGGGGTTGGTTGAAGTATGAGGCTTGGCTAAAGGCTTGGGTTGTTTTGGGCACTGGCAATAAGAACTTGGGATTGCAAGGAGTGGGGTGGACCAAGAGACTTCAAGGAAAGCTATCTCAGAAGTGGATTATTTCCATGTCCCTGTCTCCCACTCCCACTTGGACTGTACAAATTGCCTTTGCAAGCAGCGTTTCTAGGATCAGATCTTGGAGAAATGAATAAGGGAAGAATATTTCTGGATTGCTTGCAGTCTCAGAAGGGTCCTTTCTGTGCCATACCATGACACTTTTGTAGCTCTGCAGGGCATTCAAAGATAGCCTGTTCCCACTAGGGCCCCCAGGAGAAATAGCACTTCTCTCTCTTCTCCCAGGAGGCAGGGCTGTGGTCTCCCTCCCAATACCCCTAGACCCCACCTGCCTACTCTAGTAGGAATCTCAAGGATGTTCTTCTGACTCTTTCCCTGCTCCTCCCATCTCTAGGCTGTGGGACAATCATCCCATTTACCCCTTGACATTGACATCCTCGACCCTCATCCCCCAACCTCCAGCAGGCTGGCCCTACTCCCTTCCACCTCTGTCTTCTTCCAGAAGATGCATTTTGAGTCCAAGAGGAGTGTTTTTCTGGAAGGCCATCATTCAACGCCCCTGCTTCCCTGATGTGGAGCAGGAATTTGCACATGGTGTAGAGAGCTCCCCCTCCCACCTCTCTGCCCAGCCTTGTTACCTCACTCCTGCTCCGGCCATGGCTGTGATGGGCCCAGCCAGCTCCCTGTCTTGGTGTTGTGTGTGACAGCTCAGGGGTCTTGTGACTCAAGGTCCTCAGCAGGCCTGGGAGCCCGGATTGGAGCCTTGGCTGCTGGTGAGAAGCACCTTGCCTGCCAAGATTTGCTGATGCCAGACGATCTCCCCAACATTTGAAGGCCTAAAGGACATTGTCATCTCTGCCCCTTGGCCCTCCTTGCTTCTCTCAACACAATAAGACATTGCAGAAACAAAATGGCGGCCTATGCTTCAGACACGACAGCAGGCTCTGTCTGGGGACTTGGCCCTGGGTTTGTGTGCCGTGTGCAGAGATTGCACAGTAAAAGCAACCATTTTTGCCAACAAGAATGTGTGGCTCCCCACATTCCCCTACCCTGCACTCTAGGGCCAGACCACTCTCTGCATGGACCAGACCATCTTCCCAAACCCATGGTGCTTTTTTTCCCCCCACTCAACCTAGACTCCAAGGTGGGAAGGGATGAATCAGAGGCCTTAGTGGCCCCTGGATAATCCTGACATGGGGTGGAGTGGGGTGAGGCAGTGGGAGCAGCCCCTAATACTTGCACTGGGCCATATGTGGGAAGGCTGATTGCAATTGAGTTGTCTGGCC